CTCATGGTTTGCTCTTCTGCTGTGAATTGTACCTTGAGGTATCATAGTAGTAGAGAGAACAGAACAAAGTAGAAATAAGAGAACGGAGTTTCCATGTCTTTGCTAAAGTAAACTCAAGTTGACATAAAAACCCTAATTATTTGTCTAGAAAAACAAAAATTACCAAAATTCCCTTGGACACCAAAAGCTCTGGTTATTCTGATAAGTTCCTTTCCTAATACCTAGTTAGTTAACATCTTTGTTTGCAAATGGGATGTACTTTATATAGCCAAGCCATTGATGTGCTAGAAGCTTCATTTTATTTTGGATTGTTGGAACTGACAACTTTGATTGCGAAGCTGCAGAAGAGGGGGAAAGGGGGAAAATTGTAAAACTGTTATCGGAATCTTTAATGTGAAATTCAAGTTAGGGCGAGTTACACCTGAATATTTTCATTGGGCTTCTGAATCTTCCTGTGATGGTTACTATTTTTTTTGCTGGATGCAATTCCCAGACTTTCCATGACTGGTTTATGACTTCAATTTGTTCCAGAGGAACCTACCCCATACTGTAGAGTATAGCTTGTAGAATATAAATTTTGGAAGATAGCTGGATATAGTGGTAGTTAGAGAGGCCTTATTTGAATTGGACAAGAGGTTGACTGCTTAGACTATTGAGCTACAGTGATATTGACATGGAAACAAACAAGTGATTCCTATTGCTGTGGCCAGGCTTACCACTTTAGTGTAAATAAGGATCCTTTTACTGTACGTTATGAGCTTTGATGTTTTCTTTAGGGCATTTTTTTCTTATTTATATGATTGGTTGTTTGGTATATGACTGCCGTGGATCAACTTTATATCTAATATTCTGGATATTGTGATGATATAATGCTCTTTCAACTTCAAATTTGCACGAGTGAAATGCAATGAACTAGGATCTTGCAAAGGAGGAATCACTTTGATGATAGGTCTAATTTTAATTGTTTATTTGAAGTCTTCTACATATTCCAGAATGTTTTGTCTTTTGAGTTTAGGTTCAATTGTTCTGTTGTATTTATTGCTCCTTGTACTTGACTGTGTTGTGTTGCATGTATGGACAAAAGTCCCAAAGCATTGCATCAATATCCAATTGTTATTCATGTCACATGATGCAAGAGTAGTTTTCAAGTTTCTTTATGAAGTCAAATCAAAGTGGGGACGTGGCGGCGCTCTTAGAACTTATAGGTCATATTTCTTTCCTCAGGTCATACAGTAACAACGGAAAATGGGAAGTAAAGGTCGAATTCCACCCCTCATCTGAGGCATCCTCTCCCTGGCCCTGGCATGGTACATTCTGACCCATTTGGTCTAGGAATTCCACCCCGTCCAGGTCCTTTTCCACATTTTGATATGTTGCCACCTCCAGAAATCATGGAACAAAAGCTTGCTGCACAGCATGTGGAGATGCAGAAACTTGGTACAGAAAACCAGAGGATCGCTGCTACCCATGGGACATGAGACAGGAGCTTGCTGCTGCACAGCATGAGTTGCAGATTTTGCATGCTCAGATAGGAGCGGTAACATCTGAAAGAGAACAACAAATGAAGAGCCTTACGGATAAAATAGCTAAGATGGAAGCTGAATTGAAGGCAGCTGAGCCTGTTAAGAAAGAGTTGCAGCAGGCACATTCTGAAGCTCAGAATTTGGTTTTAGCTAGGGAAGAACTTTTGTCCAAAGTGCATCAATTAAATCAAGAGGTTCAGAGAGCTCATGTGGACATGCAACAGATACCAGCTTTGATGGCAGAACTTGAGAGCCTCAGACAGGAATATCAGCATTGCAGGTTTTTGTTGTGCTCTTATCTATGGGTGTTTTTGGAGCAAAGTTGAGAAAGATTAAAATACAGCGGCTGGTATTGAACAGAAAATTGATAGTAAAACTTTTTTTTTCTATTATTTGGAAGTCTGCTATATTTTTTTTTTCAAAAATTTTTTTGGAGCAAAGTTAAAAGCTTTTTCAGATCTTTCTTTTTGCAGATGTTTACGTTTCATGTGTCACAATTATGTGATAACCTATTCTTGATCATGCAGGGCTACATTTGATTATGAGAAGAAACTCTACAATGATCACCTTGAATCACTTCAGGTGATGGAGAAAAATTATATGACCATGACTAGGGAAGTGGAGACGCTTAGAGCCGAGCTGACAAATGCTTCTAATGTTGACAAAAGAACCGGTATCCTTTCTTCTGATCTTTTCATTTTGAGATTTTTTACCCCCCCCCCCCAACACACACACACACGCACACATCACCAATGTAGATGGCTCATATATGGAACCAAATGCAGTTGGGCAATATGGCAGTGCCGCAGGAAATAGTGAGAACGATGCTTATGGACATCCTGTGGGACAAATGCATATGAAAATGGTTATGGTATTCACCAGGTGTGTAATCTTCCATGATGGCATAAATCTGTCTCTGCTGAAATATGAATGGGTTGCTAGTATAAATTACATTATATCAAAGTTGATACTTATTTGTATAAACATGAAATCCATGGATTAATTAGCATTTTTTAAAGTATGGAACAGTAACTGCACAAAGAGCAGTAGAGTTCTTCCCACTCTGCCTTTGTGGTTGCTAATTCAAAGGCATCCGTGATTCAATGTATTGAGAAATGTGTTTCTTCTGCTAATTCTTCCATCTTGTAAATTAATGGCATTCTTCTCATTTTGCATTACAGAGACATGGTGCTCTGCCACCTGCTGCTATTGGTGCAAATGTAGTTGCCGGTTCTGTTTATGCTGGAAGTCAGTCTGGGTCGGGAGCTGCACCTACGAGGTCCAGCTACGAGATGTCTAGAGGACGTCCCAATGATTTTTCAAGAACAACTGGTCATGAATCACAGAGGGTGCCAGTTTATGATGCACAGAGAGGACCTAGTTACGGCGGTCAAAGAGCCCATGTCTATGATCAACAAAGAGGAGCTGGCTATGACACCCAAATAGGATCTGTAAATGATCCATCCAGGGGTGCAACCTATGATGCAGCAGCAAGAAGTCTTACTGCACCACGTGGTCAAGCAGCACCCCAGAATAACGGACCTTATGGATCTGCAACACCTCCTGGTCGAGCTGGAAACGCATACGAGCCACCCACTCGTGGTGGAAATCCTGCAAGGAGGTGAGAATTATATCATTCAACATTTTCACAGGGATAGAAGATGGCATGAATCTGATAACAGTTCCTTCTTCTTTAGCCATTATTATAATCATGTTTGTATCGAACAAAGTATGCAAGTGTCCACTGACCCTGTCTATTAAAGCTTAACCGAGTCTTATAAGACAATGAACTAGTTTTATGCGGCTTTCGGCCTTATAAAAAAATATTAGAAAAATGTTATTCGAATTGGAGGCACATAATGCTACATAACAACAAATATCTGCCGATGCAGTTTAGTTGAGTTTTAGTTTGGACACGATTAATGCTCTTTTGCCGCCTATGTTTTTTGTGATAACTACCAAAAGGGCAGTTCAAATGTTAAACAAGTGACAACATCAAAACAAAGCATTTACCATAATCTACTTTTATGGACAGCTTTTGGCGACGAAACCTGTAATGACATTTGTTTTTGTAATCTTTCGAGAGGATATGTATATAATTAAAGCACGATGACCCACCATTGAAACATCATATTCATGTGGCCAAAATTGCCAAATATCGTGGCCTCATATGTGCATAATGCACATTTTCCCCATTCTGAGTCATATCAATAATGTTGCATTGAAAAAGCAATTTCCTAGTTCTTTTGTCATTTGTTCTTTGGCTGCTGCCTTTTCGTGTTGTTCAAATGAATATCTTAGCTTGTGACCAAACACTGACCCAAAAGGTTTATGGAAAAATAACATCATCCCATTACTCGATGTTTTGTCTCGTCTTTGCTGTAATACGTGGACAGATTCAAAGCTTCTGCTTTTAAAATTATAACAACTTGATCTGATTGTTGCTTTCAAAATTAAATAACTTGATGTGCTTTTCGTATGGTTAGGATTTTTTTAAAGGTGAATAGAATTTAATTTAATTTATATATTTTTTTAATTTTAAGTTGTTTGAGCTCAAATTTTTAGTTTTGAATTTAGGTTGATTTTAAATTTCCAAAATTAAAATTTAAAATGACAATATTTTGGTTTTTTAACTAAGTGATTTGATTATTTTATGATTGTGGCTCTAATTTTCCTATTTTTCCAATTCCTCCCTTTATTTTAAGTTTATGTTTGTCAAGTTTGAATCACACACTCCTCAACTATGATAGAATATCTATGTAACTCCAATTCTTGTTTTTAAAAATATATATTTTTTAATTGAATCTCTCAACTTTGCACTTGTTTCTTCAATTCCTCATTAGTTTTAAGTCTATTTTTTCATTTCATTCTTTAAAAGAATAATAGTATCAGTATATTATATAATTTTAGATGATATTTACTTTATTAAATAACATTATAAATCTTAATTACATGTGTGACAAATGATATAAAAATATATAAATATATCGTATATGGTTAGAGAGAGATTTGAATTGAAATCATCCAAATCATTTTACAAATAAATTATATTTAAATTTGAATGAAAACTCAAACAAATATATTCCATTTGAATTATATAAATTTGACCGACTTGAAAAAAATTCAAAATAAAATTTAAATTATAAAATAGTATTCATAAAATCATTCTATTTTTTTTATTAATTTAGAGTAAATACAAAACAGTAACTCTTAATCTTTTGACATTGAACGCTCATACCTAAGTATCTATGGTGCTCGAAGTCGGATCTTCAAAGAATAACAACAATTCCTTTATCACGGAGATCACTTAGTTCGTGCAACACATTTTTTTTAAAATCCACTTGATTGAATACTCGTACCCATTTCAAATAAATAGTAATAAGAATAATATAATTTTCCTCACGCTTCCAACGTTAAAGTTAATTTTAACTAAAAATTGCAAAGCTATATTAAACTTAATTCCAAGAAGAAGAAGAAGAATAAAAGGGTTATTTGAGATTGATAATAGAAAATATACAGCACAGCAGTATTGATATGAGAAGAGGTCAGAAAGCAAAAGTCTTGGTAGTGGGAGAATCGGCAATCTTGAGGGTGCGTTCGATGAGCTTCCGTGCTTTCCTGCTCCTGATTTCCACCCTCATGCTCTCGCTCTTTTCCACCTTGTCGTAATCCCCTGGTTTCTTCATCATCTTCAAGCTCCTGAGTTTGGATTTCAAGCTCACCACCATTCTTCCTATGCCCATCATCACCATTTCTTTCTATACAATTCAATCAAACCTGTTCATTAAAAAAAATCCATTAGAGGAAAGACCCAAAACGGAGCAGGAGAGAAAGGAGTGAGAGGAATGGACCTGTTTTACAAGGAAGAGGAAGGGAGAGCAGTTTAAGAGGTAAGTATGCACACCACGCATTTCTTAACGTCTCTTATTCTTCTTTATATATTATTGTTATCATGTGGAGGTGATACAGCTACAGTTTCCGCTTTTGGATTTTTTTTCCCTTACTCTTTTATTCCATAACTGCCCTCTTTTCCTTTTTTTTAAAAATGCAACTTTTATTCTCATGAAAATTGTAAAATATCCAAGTATTGTTGGTTTTTAGGGCAATGTCATATAAATTATTGGGTAATTTTTTTACATTGTAAATTTCTAATTTGATTATTAACGATTTTTATCTGAATTATAATAGTCTGGTGTGACACGTTAAATATGTTTATTTAATACATTTATTTCACATAAAATTTTCATTTAATTTAGATCACTATATTCACCGTAAATCTTTTAAATTCAAACTTTCACCATCTTCCTATCATTATGCTTGTCGATCATCTCCCTCTTGTTACCTTCATTCACTATTTATCATTCACATTGTCTCATTTATCACTACATCATAAAATCACCATCATCATCCTAAGATTCTAAATTGAATTTTTGTTGTTGCGGAAGACGGCTATCGGATAGAGCAAAATCACAACTGATAATTTGAGAAAATGAAAAATGAAGATAAAAGAGACAAAATTTACGTGAAAATCTCTAAATAATATAGGGTAAAAACCACGGGCAACAGTAGAATAATTTCACTAAGAGAAAATATGAATTACAACTTCTCTCGATCTACTAAGGAGAAAACAATGATAATTCTCTCTTGATAAATAGGAGAAAACAATGATAATTCTCTCTTGATAAATAGGAGAAAACAACTCTCAAGAAACTCTCTAAATTCTCTATAGTATTGGAAGAAAGCTAGAATGCTTTGGGATGGTTTTGAAGCTAAATGAGCTAGAGTATTTATAGTTGAAGCTTAATGACTAATCTTATAAATACCCTAAAGTTTAGTGACTAAAGTTTGTAATTTTTCCATTTAATTTTCAACCAAATTTCCAGCCAACATGGACCAAATTCAGCCACTCCATGCCACCCCATTTGCTTGCTTTGACATTTCAACAATCTCCCACTTGAAGATTTGATTGGAACAATCATATCTTCACACCATTCTTTCTACCTTGTACCATCATATTGCTTATGTCTCTGACAGGCCACAGGAGGATCGACACCAGATAAATTTATCAGCGTTGATCGCCTTCGTCATGAAATCTGCTATGTTGTCTTTGGTATGGATCTTCTGCATATCTACTGTCCATTATTCCACCTTTTCACGAATGAAATGGTACTGAACTCGTATGTGTTTTGTCCTTGAATGAAATGTTGGATTCCTTGCTAGATGCAAGGCGCTTTGACTGACACAAAATAGAGAGACATACTCTTGATTGTGCCCAAGCTCCTCCAATAGCATCTTCAACCAAATTGCTTCTTTACTGCCTTGTGTAGCTGTTACATATTCTGCCTCTGTTGTGGATGTAGCCACAACTGATTGCATTTTTGAAACCCAGCTTACAGCTCCACCAGCAATTTTGAACACATATCCTGTAGTAGATTTGCTTTTATCTAAATCCCCTGCATAGTCAGAATCAACATACCCATTGATAAGTAAGTTTGATCCTCCGTAACATAATGCAACATTTGAGGTCCCTTTGATGTACCTCAGGATCCTCTTTATTGTATTCCAATGCTCTTTGACTGGATTCGCCATGTACCGACTAACCACCCCACTGCTTGTGCAATGTCTGGTCTTGTGCATACCATAGCGAACATAAACTTCCCACTGCTGATGCATACGGTACTCAAGACATCTCCATCATCTCTTCTTCACTGCTAGGACTCATTCTGGAGGATAATTTGAAGTTAATACGAAGAGGGGTAGAAATTGACTTACAATCTTGCATGTTGAATCGTGACAAGATCTTCTTCAAGTAATTCTTTTGTGAAAGCTAAATCTTCTTATTACTTCTGTCTCGGTGAATTTGCATCCTTAGAATCTTGTTTGCTGATCCCAAGTCCTTCATTTCAAATTCCCTAGCCAGTTGTGCCTTCAATTCTTCAATATGATCTTTGTTGGGTCCTGCAACCAACATGACATCCACGTACAACAGTAATATAACAAAATCGTTATCACCAGACCTCTTAAAATAAGCACAAGGGTCTGAATTAAGTCTGTTGTATCCAAGGCACATAATGAAGAAATCAAATCTCTTATACCAACACCTCGGTGCCTGCTTTAGACCATACAAAGATTTGTTTAACATGCAAACCAAGTTCTTCTTTTCTTTTTCTTCAAAACCTTTAGGCTGAAGCATATAAATCTCTTCTTCAAGATTTCCATGAAGAAAAGTTGTTTTAACATCTAGTTGCTCTAGATATAAGTTAAATGTAGCACACATTGCCAAAACTACTCGAACTGTCGTTAGTCAAACCACAGGAGAAAATATTTCATTGAAATCAATACTTTCTTTTTGAGTATATCATTTGACCACCAGTCTTGCACGATACCTCTCAACTTGATCGTCACCATTTCGTTTGATTTTAAAGGCCCATTTATTACCAATTGGCTTCCTTCCTTGTGGTAGTGGCACAAGGTCTCATGTATTATTTTTATGAAGGGCTTCAATTTCTTCTTGCATCTCCATCATCCACAGTGAAGCATCTGAGATGTTTATTGCCTCCTGATATATTGATGGCTCACCGTCCTCTGTTAAAAGGCAGTATGCAATATTTCCTTCTATAACATAATCTGAGTGCCAATTGGGACGTCTTCTCACACGATCTGATTGATGAGTTATTGGAGCTTCAGAACTCTCTGGTTCTTGTTCATCATGTGCTGGTTCTGCTTCAGAAGAATCTCCTTGTTCAACCTCCTTTTCCATATCTATCTGTGTAGTCTTTGACTTTTCAGCTCTATCATCATCTTCTTTTCTTTGTAGTTTATCTTCTACAAAGATAACATCCCTACTGATGATCACTTTGCGGGCAGTGGGATCCCACAAGCGATACCCCTTTACACCATCAACATATCCCAAGAATTTACATTTCCTGGATTTTGGATCCAGCTTTGAAATTTCTTGGGAGTTGTACATCACGTACACAATACTTCCAAATACATGGAGGTTTGAATAATCAGTTGGTTTACCAGTCCACATCTTCATTGGTGTCTTCAATTCTATTGCAGTTGATATAGCTCGATTCACCAAATAACAAGCGGTATTGACTGCTTTTGCCCAAAATGATTTTTCTAGGCATGCATCCCTCAACATTGCTCTTGTTCTTTCTAACAAGGTTCTGTTCATCCGCTCTGCCACTCTATTTTGTTGAGGAGTATTCGTCACTGTGAACTGTCTTTTGATGCATTCTTTCCTGCAAAATTCATCAAATTCTTCGCTTGTGTATTCCCCTCCATTATCTGTTCTGAAACACTTGATCTTGTTTCCAGAATCAAGTTTCACCCGTGCTTTGAAGTTTTTGAAAGTTGAAAACACATCTAACTTCTTCTTAATAGGGTACACCCAACATCTCATAGAGTAGTCATCAATAAATGAGATAAAGTATTTTGCTCCACCTAGAGATGTAACTGCTGTTTGCCATACATCAGAGTGAACCAATTCTAGAACAATTTTGCCTCTAGAATTTGACGTGTTGAATTTCAACCGGTGCTGCTTACTTGTTATTCAATGCTCACACAAAGTAAGTGATACATTTGTTAAGCCTGGAAGTAGTTTTTGCTCCACAAGGACTTTAATTCCTTGTTCTGACATGTGTCCAAGTTTTTGATGCCATAGCATTATAGAATCTGAACTACATGAGGCAACAGAGGCTTCTGTTTCTAGCAAAGTCTCTCCTTTCAGTATGTACAAGTTTGCTACTATCTTTTCACCTTTCATCACCACGAGCACTCCACGGAATACCTTCATGATTCCTTTCTGTGTTTCAATCTTGCTTGCATTATTATCCAATAATCCGTAGGATAATAAATTTTTCTTCAGGCCTTTCACGTGCCCCACATCTCGAACAACTTTAATCGTTCCATCATACATCTTCAATTTGATAGTTCCCACGCCAATGATATTTAAGGAATGGTCATTGCAACTATACATAGATCCTCCTGAGACAGGTTCATAATGATGAAACCATTCTCTTCTTGAGGTCATGTGATATGTTGCTCCTGAATCAATGAGCCATATATCTGCAAATCTTTTTCTACCTTCCACGGTGGTTTATGCTTCACAACATAGAGCATCTCCATCATCTGAAGTGTTTGCGGTATTGCCTTGTGGGTTAGAGTTTTTATTTAGACTCCAACAATCCTTCTTCAAGTGACCATTCTTTCCCAAAATTGTAGCACTTTAAATTCTTCTTGCTCCTCGACTTCGATCTACCATATTTGTGACTACTGCTTTGGCCACGTTCTGTTGATCTCCCTCTCATCGTTGTCAACGCTTCTGCTTGTTGTAGATTTACTTGTCTGTCTTCCTTGTTCTTGCGCCGATTTTCTTCTTGGAGAACAGCAGTTGTAACGTCATCGAATACTAGACTGGTGACATTACTGTTTTGTCAAGTTGATGACGAGTTGATCATACGAATCAGGTAGACTTTGAAGTAGAAGTTCAACACGTTCTTGTTCTCCTATTGTACATCTTAAGGATGTAAGATGAGAAAATAACGTGTTCAGTGTGTTTAAGTGCTCCGTCGCTGAAGTAGATTCTGACATTCGGAGATTATACAATTTCATCTTAAAGAAAATTTTATTGTGCAGCGATGTGGCCTCATACAATTTGGTGAGATGATCTCATATCTCCTTAGTTGTCTTCTTCTCCTCGATGCTTGACAATACTTCATCTGCTAATGCTAAATGAAAGTTTGCCATAGCATTCCCGTCTATTTCGATCCATTTGTTGTCATCTGTGAAATCCACCGGCCTTTCACTGATAGCTGCTAGACAATCGTCTTTCCTCAGGATGACCTTCATCTTCAATTTCCACAATGAGAAATTTCTCCCATTGAATTTTTCAATATCAAATTTCGTTGCCATAACTTCTTTTTTGGATAGCTCCCACTATTTCACTATCGTGAATAGTTATCTGGAACCTTCAAAGAATGAGTAATAACTTCTTACTTTCTTATGTTGGATGATCCACCTTTTGATGGCAACCACAAAGACAATAAGCAGAGATATTACACACTCTAATCTGGCTCGGATACCAATTGTTATGGAAGACGGCTATCGGATAAAGCAAAATCTCAATTGATAATTTGAGAAAATAAAAAATGAAAATAAAAGTGACACAAAATTTACGTGGAAAACCCCTAAATAATATAGGGTAAAAACCACGGGCAACAGTAGAAGAATTTCACTATGAGAAAATAGGAATTACAACTTCTCTCGATCTACCAAGAAGAAAACAATGATAATTCTCTCTTGATAAATAGGAGAAAACAACTCTCAAGAAACTCTCTAAATTCTCTCTAGTAATGGAAGAAAACTAGAATGCTTTGGGATGGTTTTGAAGCTAAATGAGCTAGGGTATTTATAGTTGAAGCTTAATGACTAATCTTATAAATACCCTAAAGTTTAGTGACTAAAGTTTGTAATTTTTCCAGTTAAATTTCAACCATTTTAGCTACCTAATTTTGAACCAAATTTGCAGCCAACATGGACCAAATTCAGCCATCCCATGTCGCCCCATTTGCTTGCTTTGACATTTCAACATTTGTTACATGCTTAACCTCCTCATCCATCATCTACATACACCACCACTCCATCTTCAATAACTCCCGTCATCAATGATCATAGTTATTTTCAACAATCGATTATCAATACTACATCATTCTCATTGTATCTAAAATTTCAGTTCTCATTTGTCATAATTTCATAGAATTATTGCTACACTCAAGTGTTTATTATAATCTTCAAATTATTTTGTATGGTAAATTTAAACTCATAATTCATCAGTAGTGTGAACCAAACCCTATACACAAACGAAGATCAACAAGAAATAAGTTTAAAAGAGAAACAATAGAGGAAGAAAAAGGACTTGAACTATTGAGAATATTGAATTATAGTGATTTGTTGTAAGATTAACTTATCAACCGACAATTAAATTCATAAGACATAAATCAAATTTAATTTGAGACTTTGATTTTGCTTCCATGAAAGCATGCATCTTTAACATTTTTTTTCATTTATTATTTTCTTCTTCTTTCAAGCTTCACAGCCTTTTGAATTATTGCAGAAAAACAAAATATTTGTAAATACGCCCTTCCATTAGGCCCAAATATAAAATTGGCCCAAAACCTAAACCAGATTAAATTTCAAAGGAACCAAGCCTACCAAGAAAACCAATAATTTCATCTCGTCATTTTAAATCTAATTTCACTACAGCAAGCAATAATATATGGAGAAAATATATGTGAGAAAACACAGACAAGAAAAACAATTTCCATGCTTTAAATGGGGAACGAACTGTTGGAGTTTTAAACATATTTAATAAGCTATTGATGTTTTAAAATAATTTAAAAATTAAATATTTAAATAAGAACTATTTTTTCAGCTGCTACGTATATAAAGGATAAATCTCTTAAAAATATAAAATAAATGTGTAATATTTTCAAATAAAAATTTAGTCTTATAAAATATCAAACAAAGATGTAATAGTTTTCAGTCCACTTAAAAAATAACTTAACATTTTCGACAATGCTTTTTTCTTTTTAATATATTCTTTAATCAATTAGATTTATTACCACGACAATTATCTCAATTAATTAGTTTTTACTTTTTAATATATATTTTTTTAATTTATAAGTAATTGTTTTAATAGATTTAGACATTAGGCTTCTATATGATTAGATTTGAATATACTTTTTATTAATATAAAGTGATTATAAGATAGTACTTGTTTGATAGACTTTCAATTAATTTGATAATAAACGTTCAGACATCCCTGTAGACGACATATTCGAACTCGAGTCTATGAATAACATTAAATTATATTTTAATTATTTTTAAAAAATATTTTTATATGATCAATTCCTAAAAACTGGGTCTTTTATTTTGATATTTAGACAATTAAATTTATAAAGAATAATTGATAAGAAAACTTAAAAGCAAGAACCAACCTCTAACTTGTAAAAACCGTGTAGAATACACGGACAGGACGAAGCATAGCAGAGATCAAGGAATAAGTGTCTACTCCTATTCTACTCTTTCCCATTTTCCTTACCGCTTAAGCATAATGTTCCTTCCTTTGCCCTCTCATCCATGTTTATCGTCATTCAAAATGTTAGAATCAGTTTTCTTTCGTCAAAATGTGTGTACACAGTACATTATCAATAGTCTAAAAAATTTTCTGTAATGACACTAATTTTAATTTTCCTAGACTATCAGAAAAACATATAACATTTTAAAACTTAAATTCTACAATCAAATTTATATAAACTAAAATTACAGGGTTAATATATCAATAAATTTTCAATATTTTATTATTTATTTTTTCAATTGGTATTAATTTATAATATTTATTTTAGAAAATTTTATAAGAAAAATGGAAATGTTAATCCTCAACAGAAGCAAAGCAAACCCTTGTGGATAGTCTTCCCCTTAACTTGGAATCCAAATTCCAAACCAACCCGAATCATGATCTTGGTTGGGTTTGATAATATATTAGTTCAAATACATGGCCTGCAAGCCAAGTTCCTTAAACCCTTGAACATTATCAAAACAACAAGTTGTGTTTACATGTCGATCATTAGGGTTCACCGAACAAAAACAGAAACAGAAAACTAAAGGGTCAAACTACCCCCTATTTCCGCCCGCTTTCCATCAACCCTTACTTAAAATATGTTGAAAAAGCTCAAGCGACGAGTCAAGACATTAATAACCAAGCCCTTTAAAAAGCCCAAGAAACATCGTAAACCCCCAACACCAGCAGTTCCTCCTCCTCCTCCGCCGTCATCTCCGCCTATGGCTCCTCCTCAAATTCCCCCCAAAGCCCAACCTTTCCTCTTCCCCAGCGTCCAATCCTCCGTGCTCCCCGACCCTTCACGTTTCTTCTCCCCGAAGCTCCTTTCGTCCCCTCTCCCCACCAATTCTTTCTTCCAGAACTTCACTCTCAAAAATGGTGACCAACCCGAATACATCCACCCTTATCTCATCAAATCGGCCGACTCTTCCCTTTCCATCTCCTACCCATCTCAATTCCACAACCCTTCTTTCATTTACCAAATTTTCGTCCCTGATCTTACCGTCTCTGCTTCTGATAGAACCAGCCCAGCCCATGTGATCTCTTCTTACAGTGATCTCAGTGTTACTTTGGATTTCCCCTCTTCGAACCTCCGGTTCTTTCTCGTCCGAGGTAGTCCCTTTTTGACCTGCTCTGTAACGGGGAATACTGCTGTATCGATATCTACTGTTCATGCGATTCTCTCGTTTTCTTCGAATAGTTCGCTCACCAAGCATACCGTTCAGCTAAACAACGGTCAAACATGGCTTATATATACGTCTTCGTCTCTCAGTTTGAATCATGATCTTTCTTCTATCGGGTCCGGCGGGTTTTCGGGTATTATTCGGATTGCTGTGATGCCCGGTTCTGATCCGATGTATGAATCCGTCCTTGATCAGTTCAGTTCCTGCTACCCGACCTCAGGTGTCGCGGTTTTGAATAAACCGCTTTGTTTGGAATATAAATGGGAAAAGAAGGGCTGGGGTGATTTGCTTATGCTTGCACACCCGCTTCATTTTGATATTTTAGCCAGTGATGGTTGTGATGTTAAGGTATTGGAGAATCTTAAGTATAAAAGTATTGATGGGGAGCTTGTTGGTGTTGTTGGGGATTCGTGGGTGATGAAACCGCACCAGGTTTCCGTGACTTGGCATTCGATTAAAGGGGTAGACGAAGAATCGTATGCCGAGATTGTGACTGCTCTTGCTAAGGACGTTGAGGCGTTGGATTCGTCGGCTATATCAACGACATCGTCTTATTTTTACGGGAAGTTGATTGCCAGAGCAGCGAGGTTGGCGTTGATTGCTGAAGAAGTCTGCTATGTTGATGTGATTCCTGCGATAAGGAAGTTCTTGAAGGATACAATTGAGCCATGGCTGGATGGAACTTTCAATGGGAATGGTTTTCTGTATGAATCGAAATGGGGTGGCATTGTGACTAAACAAGGGTCGGCTGATTCTGGGGCGGATTTTGGTTTCGGTGTTTACAATGATCACCATTATCATATCGGTTACTTCCTTTATGGAATTGCTGTCTTGGCCAAGATCGATCCGGCTTGGGAAGGAGGTATAAGCCACAAGCTTACTCACTCATGGCTGATTTCATGAACCTAGGCAGGCGATCGAATTCGAATTATCCGCGTTTGAGGTGTTTCGATTTGTACAAATTGCATTCTTGGGCAGGAGGGTTGACTGAATTCGCGGATGGAAGGAACCAAGAAAGCACTAGTGAAGCAGTGAATGCATATTACTCTGCTGCACTAATGGGGTTAGCTTACGGTGACAGCCATCTTGTTGCGACCGGATCGACACTCATGGCATTTGAGATTCAAGCAGCACAAACTTGGTGGCATGTGAAGGAAGGAGACAATCTATACGGAGACGAATTCACAAGGGAGAACCGAGTCGTAGGAGTGTTATGGGCCAACAAGAGGGACAGTGGCCTTTGGTTTGCTCCACCTGACTGGAGAGAATGCCGACTCGGGATCCAATTGCTACCCATATTGCCTATCAGTGAGGTGCTGTTCTCCGATATCGAGTTCACCAGAGAGCTCGTGAACTGGACGTTACCGGCATTGGAAAGGGATGGCGTGGGAGAGGGATGGAAAGGGTTTGTGTATGCATTGGAAGCAATTTATGACGAAGAGAGTGCTTTGGAGAAGATAAAGAAGCTGAATGGTCATGATGATGGGAATTCACTCACAAATCTCCTGTGGTGGGTTCACAGCAGAGGCAAAGAACAGGAAATTGAACATGGTGCAGGGGGAAAATATTGCTGGTTTACCTACTACTGTGATTGATTTCATTTGTGTTATATATCTGATTTCATTTTAATAAACCTTGAAATGTTTACTTATTGCAGAAAATGATGTGTATTTCCAAACTAAAAGGATCTCTATCTACATCTATATACGAAATACATAGTTTGATTAGAAAAGCTCTGTTTTTTTTCCCTAGTTCTTAACTTTCCGATCAAGTTAATTAACCAATACATATGTGTTCATCAAGTGTGATTGCAGCATCAAATTAGTCGTTTTCAAATGGGTTAGTGGTATTATCTTCATAAAATAAACATGATTGACCTGTCCCTTACAAGACAATAATTTAACCATCTAATCACGATTAGACATCTTCCTCTGCTAGGTCTTTCCGTCAGATTCGAAATCGTGGAAGGGTTGACAAATTGAGCAGAAACGCCTGTCACATGCTCTTTTAATATCTTCTAATCGCTTGCATTCTTCTCCATCTTAACATAATCATTTTTCATTTATTCAGCATCCCTCTGAATTATTTTTTTGGCATTATTTTTATATTTTAATTTATTTCTCACTTTGTTTTTTTTTGTTGTTGAAAAAAACATAAAAATTTGCTATTAAGAAATCGTATTCTTTTAGAATTTTCTAGTTTTTCCTTTCAAATTTTATGATTGTTACAATTTTATTTTATTTTTTAAAAATAAATTAAGCATAATTAAATATAAAAAAAACACAAATTCTGAAAAAAATATAGATTCTTTAAGAATTTTTTGATATTTTAAAGGGTTTTTTTTTCTAGTTTATGAGTTTTTGCTTTTTGTTTTTCTAAGTTCTTTAAAAAGCAAAAAATGAAAAAACAATTTGATAGAAATCCAACATTTATTTTTCAAAACTCATAATATGCTTAGAATTTTCTAGATTTTTTGTCATTTTTAATGATTTTATGAATTTAAAATATAAAAATCAATAAATATAGTTTTTAATATTTTTAATTATTTTTATTTTCATGAGTTTTTTTTAATAATATGAGGTGATTATAAGTTGGTATATGTTCGCATTCTTTCTTAGTCATTAATAATATGCATACGTTTTGCAGACACAATTGTTTAAACTCAGGATCTTATGAACAACAATACTCCCATTAAACCATTATTGTCTCTAGATGTGTTATTCTATTTCTCTATATCTTAAATTTTTATAACATATGATATATATTATGATCAAATTATATAAATCTTTAATAAAAAATATTATTAAAATAGTAAGACAATGATTATTATAAAGAAGTAATTGAGAAAAAATTACACAGAAGAAGAAAAATAATAGATTAGCGGGCATGAACAACGAGGTTTTGAGATTTTATTTGTTTGTTCGACTTTACTATGTATTCAAAGCTGCAATGTTATAACTTCACACTTATTTTGGAAAATAAACTTTAATTTTTTTTAATTTAATTATTATACTTTTAGGTTTTTGATTTTTTCGTTATTTCACTGATAATATTTATCGACATTATAATTAGGCATTTATCTTCTAAAATTACTAAATGACTCTAACTTTTTTAAATCGTAGTTTCATATTTCTTTTTATTTTTCCGACAATTGAGTATCTTCTTCCAAATTATATAGATTAGAAGATGGAGAAAGAGGATACGAGCTATATATCTTGACTTCACGTAATCAAATGATGGAGCCTATAGATAAAAGTGATTTAGTATTTTATGAGTTTTGAGATTGAGGTTGAGTTTTACGAGTTTTGAAGAGATTTGAAAAAAATATAAATTAATAGAATGATATGAGACAATAAGACGAATTTATCTGTGTCTTCAATGCTCGAAGAAAATTCTGAAAAACAATTATTATAACACTGACGTGACACATATGAAACTATAAAAGTTTCACTTTTGCGAAAGAATATAAAATTAAAAAAATGATTAAAGTAAGATGGGACACATGACATCCATATAAGCAAAAAAATACTCTAAATAAAAAAAGACCACATCATCTTATTGTATATGATTTAACATTTCGAGTAACCAAAATAGAAATATTCCAAAAGTTTAGTGATCAAATTGAAATTTTTAAAGTTTAGTGAACAAAATAGAGACATAATGAAAATTGATTGATGAAAACTATAATTTACTATTTTTTACTCAAACATGTTTATAGGATAAATTATGTATTTAGTCATCCAACTATCACTTTGGTTCCATTTTGGTCACTTAACTATTTTTTTCAATATCTTAATAATGTTACGCTTTTCGTCATCCATCGTTAAAAAATAATGATGACGTGACAATTTCTTTTAATTTTTCAATGATGATGTGGAATTATCTTATGGTGATACATCATCATCACTGTTAATTTTTTAATGGTTGTTGACCAAAATAAAATCAAAACGTAAATTAACGTATGATTTTGAAAAAAAATAATAGTTGGTGACAAAACAAAACAAAAGTAATAGTTGGATGACTAAATTGATAGTTTTCCTTATTTTATCGTCCATGTTGTGAGTTTGTACTTGTTTCTGTCAATAACATTTTAAAAAAATTCAAACATATATTCTTCTCTTCTTCTTTTTAATAGAACATATATTCTCTTTTTAGGAGTATGTCATTATATCTAAGTGTTGAAAGGTTTAATTTTTTAAATTTTAAAAAAATGCTATTCTCCATTGGAGGCCCGTCCATACCTAATTCAGACGAGGATTATCCTCATCTGTGAAACTTGGCAATGCAATGGAAACCCTAGTGTGAATCTTGCATGTGAAGTAGCTCGGAAAATAGTGAAACCTGAAAGTCCAAATAAATATTTGATCCATCGTTCTGACTGCACTTACTTACCACCCTCGTGACTCTATCTAATCTTCTCCACCTACCCTACAACACTTGCCTACTTCTCATATAAAATCCTCAGTGCCTTATCAGAGAGACAACTTGAAGAATCAGAAAATGAAGATGGAAGTAGAGGTGGCAATACCACCACCCATTCCAGGAAAGCAGCAAAAGTGTGTTGGGAATGTATTTAGTTGTAGTTCTATTGCAGGAGAAAAGAAGCTCATATGTGTTACAAGTGGCAACTCTTACTTAGGTTCTTCCATTGTCAAGGAGCTACTGTCTCATGGTTACCTTGTTCGAGTCACTGTTCAACACCAAGGCAAGTTATTTAAACCCTATTAATCTTCAATCTTGAATAACACAGGCTTCTAAAAACCAGTTTTTGACATTGAATTGCTGTTCTATGAGCAGTGGAATTGGGAGAACTGAAAGATCTGATAGGGGAAGAAGAGTTCAACCTATTGGAGAGTGTGGTTTTAACCAAGATGGGAGATTTACAAAGCCTTTGTGATGCTTTTAGAGGCTGCCATGCTGTTTTTCATACGTCTTCCTTCATTGATCCACATGGGATCTCTGGTTATTCAGTAAGTTCATCTTCCTTCATTTTTAGATGGTAGCAAGCAGTAAACATTTTTGTTCTGCGATGATTTGGGTTGATTATTGAAGGAACAGATGGTGTTTGTTGAGACTGAAGTGGCGAGAACTGTTGTGGAAGCTTGTGCAAGGGCAGCCTACGTAAAGAGATGTGTCTTCACTTCTTCTCTAATAGCATCCATTTGGAGGAACGGAAACATGGATGGGGTTATTGAAGAGAGTTGTTGGAGCAGTGAAGAATTTTGCAGAGAAAATAAGGTATTTTGTTTGTCATTGGAAAAACTACTTGTTCATAGGATTCAGATTGCGGTCTCAATTGTTTCGCACCCACGTTGGTTATTTAGGTATAAGGACTAAGAATGATTAGAGATAGTGATTCAGATTGCGGATTCAAATATTTTTATAAATTTAATTTGTTTTTTTTAATCTGAATAATTTATAAATTTAAATAGTAAAATTATTATTTGTTGTATATTTGGAGCAAATATAGATAGAGACCTTTGGATATCCATTGTCTGAATTCGCATTACTTATGCGAATATGAATTACAGATTTGAACATCTGAATTACAAAATAAAATATATATTTGTTTCTAAGAAGATATGAGCCTTAATCATCAATCTTTTTAATAGATTTAGATTCATATTTATATGAATTCAGATATTTGATAAATGATTTAAAATTTAAAAGTTTAATTTCTTACAAATTTAGATAATCTAAAAATAAAATATACCCAACCCAAGTATGACTAACATGGACAAAATTAAATGGTTTTAGGGTTAAAAAATCCCCCAACTGTTTTGAAAAAAATGAATTAATTCTACATCCACATAAAATCTGAATATCATAAAGCAGAAGATGGCATATTCTTATGTTTTCAAGTTTCAGCGTACAAATACATATCGACGACGTTGTTTAATTGTTGTGGACCACAGCTTTGGTTTGCATTGGGTAAGACCAAGGCCGAGAAGGTAGCTTGGATGAAAGCAAAGGAATTAAAAGTAAACCTGGTTACTGTCTGCCCGGGTCTTCTCATGGCTCCCACCTTTCCAAATGCTTTACCATACCTCAAAGGTACACAAAAACTTAATACTACTTTTTTAAAATATTAGTATCTGACAATCATATTATCCGAATACAATCTTCTAAATACATGGAAATCGAGAAAAATAAAAGACATTTGTGTCGGAAGTTGGATATCTATCCGAGGTATAAGCGGTTAAATTTGGTATGCAGGTGGGCAGACGATGTTACAGCAAGGCTGCTTAGCAATTGCAGAGGTGAAGAAGGTGGCCAAAGCTCATGTGAAGGTGTACGAAGGCATGGATTACGGAGCATGTGGGCGATATTTTTGCTTTGATGGAGTAGTGAGAAGATTGGAAGAGGCCATTGAACTTGAAAATGGGCTAAAGATAGCAGGTCTTTTGTTGGGAGATGTAGTGTTATCAGATGAAGAAATTCCAATCAAAATTAGCAATTCAAAGCTTGCCGCTCTCTTAGACAAGGCCTCTCAACGGGTGTCTTGTAGTGGTTGAAACCTCGATGTTGTAACATTTTGTTGGGGGGTTGTTTCGCCACTTATAGTGAAATATCCAATTCATCATTTACATTTGCATCGCGTAGAATTACGGGGATGAAATCAGAATTAAATATGAGTAAAAGTCAAAGTATTAGACATTTTAAATATAATATGTATTTAAATTCAAAATTCTATTTAAACTCAAAATTCAAAAGAAGCCTATTTATCTAATATTTTTTTATGTCGAATAAGCATTTTTATTTTTATTTTTTGCATTTCCTTTAGTCATGTTAGGGTTTGATTTTGGGGTTACAAATGGTTAGTTCGAGGTTTGCTTGCGGTAAGGATGAACACATGAATTTATATTAAGAATAAATTTATAAAATTTCATAATATAAAATTATATCTTTAGTTTCGTTTCGATCACTCAATTTAAAATATACCCAAAGTTACGTTTTAGTTATGTTTTGATCACTTGTTATTAAAAAATAGTAATGATGCTAACATGTCAACATAAGATAATATCACATTATCATTGAAAAAAATTATTATGTCAACAATAGAATCAAAATTATAGTTGATTGATTAAATATATAATTTATCCTAAGATATAAAAAATGAAATTATATGAAAATTTTACGCGAGATTCTTCTATCCATCATGATTACGCGGCTTACCTTCATTCTCCTCCGATATCTCGGGTATATAATATATTATTTATTATTATTTTTATCTGCGAATTTCAATTGCATTCTTCTTTGTTCCATTAAAACGTTTGATTTTATAGTTCAGTTTTTCGAGGAAGTGGCACTTTATGAGAATCGAGTTAGTTTTTTTCTTTAGTTTAATATTTGAGAATATAGGCTGTCTTTGGTTGCGTAGACAATTGAAGGAAAGAAGAGAAGCAAAGTGAATTACCATCATTTTTCTGAATGGTTGCTTGGGAGTTTTGAGAAAGTAGGTTGGGTTCCAACGAAGGATCTACGAGCCTATTAGGTTAGACTAATTTTTACCCACTTTATGATTTAATGGAAATGTTGTTATCATTCTGAACCTTGTTCTGCCATATTTGAGCTTGTCCTCAAATTTGTTTGCTGCATGTGTTTTTTTTTTATGTTGGTACTTTTAAACATGTTACTCGACTCTGGTGTGAATTGTATATAAATATGTGCCTGACATAAGTATGTTTAATTTTTGTTAAGCTTTTTCATGCATGTTGAGGGTCATTAGAGGGTCTTATCAAACATATGAGTTGAACACAGATATTAGACTTGGATACTTCTAGAAGATGAAGAGTTTGAGCAAGGTATATTTTTAGAGAGAGAATTAATGAACAACAAAAATAATCCACTTTTTAGCTTTTTCATATATATATATATACATGTAAAATAGACTTTCAGAGATAGAACCAGTGGACAACAAAAATAATTCAACACACATATATGTATATATATATGTTATTGTCCATAAACTTATTTTTTATTGCTTTCAATTTTATTAATATATATTGATTTAATCATACATTTGCATTCAGGGTAGGCTACCGATGGTACACAAGATTAGTTGCTCTTGCATGTTATGCTTTGCTTCTTATGCCTGGTTTTCTTCGAGGTATCTTCTATATTATTGGTTGATTATATTTTCTGCACAAACTTGCAAACTTGTTATTAAGAATCGTTTACTTCTCTTTTTACATGAAAATAGTAGGTTCTGGTTAAAGTGAAAGTTGAACAAGAGGTTGCTCTTGTAAATCTTCAAAGAAGCAAAAAAAAGGTAAATATAAAAATGAGGAAAAGGGAAATGGAAATGGACATCAAGGTGTTAGAAACTTGGTATATTTCTCATAGATTTATTTTTCTTTGTTTAAACTTGTGGCATGTCTTATATATGTTTCTAGATCTTTTTGAATGTTCTGTGACCAATTGACATCATTGGCTCAGCTGTAACACTACCCCTATGTGTCTTGGTTCTCCCTCTAATTCAATTCATGGGGGACAACTATTAGTGTGTGATGGGAGTTCCTGTCATGGTTGTGAAGATTGTCATCATACAGCTGTTTGCTTGGGAATAAACGAAAACTTCACTACGCTTTTGCAGTTTAGAGATGGTTATATTTTTGATATTGTGATCATACAGCTGTTTGCATGGGGGAATAAATTATAGATCTTTGCTATGCTGTTTGCTATGCCAGAAGCAGTTATATTTGTAGATTGTTTTCAAATATCTTACTTAAAGATTACTTGTTGATCTTCTACAATTACATATTATTATTTTTTCTCGAGTCAAGTGCGACGGAGTATTATTTATGGAAATCAACCAAGGAATAGGTATGTGAATATGTGACACAAGTACTTATGGAGTTGGGCCAACAGCCATGTATTTTGTTGGTAGAATGTTGGTCTCTTCATTCTAGTGACCAAGGGATCAAACCTGGAACATCAAATGACAAGTAGTTATATTCTATGACTTGCTTGTCACAGCTTATAAATTAAAGCTACTATTTTTTTCTCCTTTGATGACGATTTGACAGATTGAATTTATACTTGCCAACAAATATTAATGGCCCTAAGCCAGTTGTGGTATTTGTGAATGGTGGAGCCTGGATAATTGGGTGAGTGACGTGAGATTTCTGCATGGTGAATCTGTCACATTTTAATATATGAATGTGGATTAAATATGAACTACATATTATAGCCTTAAAGTTCCTTAATATTTCATTAGGGGTTCTACATCTGGTTGTCTATTCTTGTAGTGGTCTGTTCTTAGGAATTAGATAATCATATATTGAAATATTATATGAGGTCTATATAAACCTAAAGAAAGTTTAAGGCTGAAATTGCTCATTCAGTGGGCTTGAATGATCAGTGTATCGATCACTTCCATATCTAGTTGACCATTAAATATTTACTGAAAGTATATAACTTCGTTCGTTTTTATAATGTTAAGTTTCTGAACTTTTCTTCTGTTTAGGTATAAGGCTTGGGGCTCACTTGTGGGACTCCAGTTGGCAGAAAGAGATATCATTGTAGCATGTATTGATTACAGGTATTAGTTTGGTTGATGCCATGACATGGTGTTCTGTTCACTTTTGCCAACAATGCATCCTGCGTGTGAAATATTCTAAGAGTCGAATTAAGTACTTGTAATATCGTTAATGAAATACCATACAGGAACTTTATTAATTGACTCTATGTTCCATACAATTTACCTCCTCCGTTATTAATTGACTCACATATTGTCATAAAACTTTATTATATTTATGAGGCCTCTTTCTTTTCTTCTACCAATAACTGGCTTTTCTTGATATTTGTATGCAGGAACTTCCCCCAGGGAACCATCAGTGACAAGGTGAAAGATGCATCTCAAGGGGTCTCATTTGTCTGCAATCTCATTGGCAGATATGGAGTTGATCCTAATAGGTGACTGACAAACTGACTGCTTTCTTTGATTTTGAATGTCTCTCATATATCCATAGTATCTCAATTTACACTGTTATTGGTTATTTTGAATATAATCTATTTAATGGGGCAGTCAGCGGGGGCACATATTTCTGCTCGTGTTCTTTTGGAGCAGGCAATCAAAGAATCTAGAGGAGAAAACACCACCTGGAGTGTCTCCCAAATCAAAGCTTATTTTGGTTTATCTGGAGGGTAAACTTTTATCTGTTTTTAATTATGAGTCTTGGATAAGATATGTTGAATATGCAGAAAGCTGTACTTTCCATTGTTTTGGGCTTAATGAGTACACTTAAGCAACAAGATTAATGCTCTACAAGGATCTTTATACAAGACTATCAAGTTCATATTGCTATATGAATTTTAGACATTTTTAATACGTTATGTATGATAAAAATGATCATGTCCTAATAATGAAGAAGCAACATGCTACTTTTTCCATTTCTTATGTAGGGTGCATGACTGTCTCATTGAAGTGGCTATAGAACATTAATGCTTCAGATAAAATCCAGCTGAAAGACGTTTAGCTATATTTTTTCGTGAAAATTGTTGTCAGTTTTTTTGAAATTGATTATCTTGAATCACAGCTTTTGTTTTGTTTTGTTGGTTGGTTTTAAGTACACGGTGTGCAAATAATGCTCTTCTTAGTTTCCATGTGTTTTTTCATTGTAGGACTTTATCTTTTGGATCATAGTTTTCACCCTTTCTGATTTTCCTAGAAGAATTTTTGCAAGACAGTATCGCTGAAGTTTGTTTCGTTTGCACCATGCTTCTCTTTTTTTACCTCCCATTTTCCCCCTAAATTTTATATCCCTTTCCAGTTTGCCTTTGTTGTGTTATTTTATGAAGACATTCTATGATGCATCTGAAAGAAATTTACCTTGGTTACCACACTGTAACTTCTTCCTTCTAAATGAGAGAAACATCAATCTAAGTTACTTAACTAGAATTTAGCAGTAATCCTTCATGTGGTTATCAAGTTACAAAAATATGGTGAAAATATTTTATTTGACACTTTGATGTGAGCAGTTGCTACTAAGAACTAGCAACTGAAAACCGATCAATCCTCTCTTTTAGGTTGGTGGGAATATTTTCCTCAACTGACTCTAGAACGTAAAGGCTTTCTTGAAATGTTAAGATATACATATGAGCTAGCCGCTTGAAGTTATAGGACTCTCTTCATATCTTTTATGGCATAAGTTAATCTTCTTCTGTTGATTTATAGTTGTACATCGTATGGGCTTATTCTCCAGTTAAATTGTATAAATAGATTGACAGTTGTAACTAGATACGTGCTTATTTCCTTTAAATTGTGATTTGGTTGATCATTTCCACAATCGAGGCCTTTAAAATCATAACTTTTCCATTTCATAATTAAGAGGACAAAGAACATTTAGATTTTTTTTATATTGACAAACATATTATTTGTAAGAAACTCGAAAAACACTAATTTAATATATACTCATTTTACAGAAAGAATAAAGGAAGGTAAACTATAAAAGAGGAAAAGTTCATTAACTTACTAAATATGTTCAGAAAAAATGTAATAATAAAATTAATATTAATTATCTAACAATATTAATTTTTTATTTGTATCTTTGAATTAAAATTATGGAAGTGGAAACAGAATTAGAAGGACCACCCGAAAATTAGATTGTTGGTTCCTTGTAGACACCTGAAAAAAGAGTTGCAATGTAAAAATGTATGATACTGAAGTCAGGACCACCTAAAAGCTTTCCCTTTTGAATAATCAAATGCGAAAAGGAAACAATCACTAACACAAATTTGATGGCAGTGTTTGAATGAATGAAATGCCAATTCATTTGACATTTAATACGTAAGAGAGTAGACAACAACCAAAACCACCCAACTCTCCATTGGTAGCAAATTCACCAAACGTCGGCTGCTCCTGCCTTGCTGCAGTTCACCGTCTTAGCCGCCGCAGCAGCATGGTTTTTTGGTCTGAGGGCAGTTTCCTCCACATCATGGTTTTTGCCACATACCTCTTTTCGCCTTTGCAGAAACCCTCTCCACTTGGTAGCGCTGCTGCTCTTTTTCTTGGGGTGGTTGTTATTAACATCTGCATCGATCTTCAATAGCTCACGGTGGAATTTGACTCCACTCAACTCAATAAGCTGGTCGAGTCGCTTTGAAATGATTTCGATCTCGTAGGGATCCAGGAGAGAAGTATGGGTGGGGACTGATCCCTTAATCTCCTCGATGTTGTTGTCATCGTCGTTGTTCCTCATGACTTCCAACTTGTAGCGTGATGGCCCCGGAGTTCGTTCACATCGTTTGGCATTGAATTCTCGGATGGCCATGGGCTTGGCTTCGGAGCTTGAACCGTGCTGGTACCATGCCCACGCAGCTGCCTTGATAAGGTCTAGATCGTGGTTGGAGCAGGCTTTGGTGGTTTGGTTTGCCATTATGCGGTTTTGAGTTTGGGGTTTCATAGTTTGGTTTGGAAATAAAAGGGGTTGGGATTGCATCGTTGTTAGAATTGAATGGGAAGGTTGAAAGGTAAGGGGAATAGGGTTCAGATTTGGAACTAATTTTCATGGTCATAAATGGGACGTTGAGACAATGCCATTTGGTTTTCGGATTGGAACCAGACACTCTTTGTTAGTTGTGCGTATCGTCACTTTTCCCTCTCCCACATAACTTCCATGTTGATGCATACAACTTCCACATTTGCCACTTTTATTATCAGTAGGTTTATATGAACGACAGGTACTTCAATTATATATTTTCAAGTCAAATATCTATATTCTTTTTTTTTTATCAAATCAAATACCTAAATTATCATTTGTTTTATTTTAGACTCTAATCGTTATTACAATATATAGCTAAAAAATTCCATGTGACAAAAAAATGTTTAGGAATTCAATTCGAAAAAAAAAGGTTTAAATACCTACCTCAAAAAATAATGTTTAGGTATTTAACTCAAAAAAGTTAAAATTTTATGTACTCTAGTTCTAAATTAATTGTTAAAATGACATAAGATAGATAATATTAAATTAACATAAAATACATATAAACTTTTAAATTCATTGAGGGACTTCAATGGTAAAAGAGTATTATTCTCCTATAGGTCTCGAATTCAAGCAATTGAATCTGCTAAGAAAATTCTAAAATTGGTACAATCAATATCATAGTAAACATTTTTATTAAAAAATAATAGTTTGATTTTTTTTTTTGAAAAAATGATGATAAAATTGAATTTTAAAAAATAAAGATCAGATTTACAAAAATATAAATGTTAAGAGCCAAGTTATAATCATGCAAGGGAGCTTTATGAAGTAAAACTACAAATATGAAAGAAATTAAAAGATAAATTAGTGGTATTAATAATAGTAATGTCGTAGTAATTTTACCTAACTAATAGATTTACGGCCAAATTGTCGATTTTGATTCTCACCTAATAACTAAATCATCCAACTTCTATTCTTCTTTGTAATTTTAAATGTTTGTTTACGTGCAATTATAAAAATAAATAAATGCAAGAAATTAACACAACCATTTTCACTTAAATTTCTTCATATCCCAACTATTTTATTTTATTCATTTTTGTGAAGACTAGTTGTATCAGTTCAAAATAAAACAGCAGAAGTGAAATCTCTTCTAACTATTCTTTCAACATGATAACGCAAAGCAAAGGGGAATATCCCACTCGAAACCTGGCCTCGCATATGCACTGCAATGCAGAGAAATGAAAAGAGAAGAAATTCGATATCCGACCTCCATGTATCTCTGAGGGCCTGCCTTAGCCTTTACGACTCCTCGACTGAGAAATATCATGCTCGACACGCCTGACTTCATCTTTCAGCTCCTGCAATGTTGTTCCTCTGTATTGTGTTGTGCCTTCAGCTTCTAACAAATTTGAAAGGTGCTTCACGCAAGAGAGATACTCTGCCTTTGCTTCCACAGAATTACTGATTAACTTTCCGGTTACCAACTGCATTGAGCAGATTAAAAACAATGGCATTCTTGCAACGACATGGTAATTCCCGATTTAAGCTTTCTATTTCAACGAGTTCATCAAGGTTTTAAACCGACCATGAAAACATGTACCTCTTTGTAGGCAGAAATGCATTCAAAATGTGCATTTTTGGCGTCAGGAGTGGATAACTTTTCCTGTAACCCAATTGAACCATGGTTAACTATTAGTACAATGTTTATCATTAAAAAAAATTAGTACAATGTTTAAAGTGCAGTTTGATATACATAAAGCCTAAAATACCAATTATGTCACTACATCAAGAAAAAAAATGAGCGGAACAATATCTCAGAGAGTGTTTCAATATCATCAAGCATCTCAAAAAAGATTACTATAGGTGAAGAAAAACACATCTGATGTACTTGTTCACATTATTGACTTTTAAAGAAAAAAATACCAAAAGATCGTACGAGAAGCATGATGGCATTTGTTTTCAATTGAGAACATCATATGTAAGGCCCAAACTATAAGAGGAGCTTTTTCTTTTTCTCCTCTTCTAGGGGATACTTGGGAATTTTAGTAACTAGAAGGGTTTAGAATACCGTTGATTTATCATTGGTAAGGCTTGGGGCCATGCAAATTGAACAGACACCAATTAGAAAACTATCATAACTTCATCAAGCAGTAACTATCTTCTGATATTAAATGTAATACTTACACATTTGGAACCACAACCAAGGTTTTTAGTTGGTACCCAAAGCTGAAAACTAAGTTAGGTTCTTAAACTTTGCTTCTCTTTATTAAAATCAATTTTCACATGAGAGTAAGCACAGGAGAGGGAGAGAGAGAGAGAGAGAGAGAGAGAGAGAGAGAGAGAGAGAGAGAATGGTGGGGAAAGGGGATCACTGGACAGTGATGGTTGCCAAAGCCAGGCAATGTCAGCATCTGATGAACCCCCAACCCACCCTCTCCTCTCCATCCCTCCTTCGATCTCTCTCTCTCTCTCTCTCTTCATTCCCTGTTCCCTTATCTTTTTTTAATTTCAGAAATAAAAAAATGAAGCAAAAAAAATGATGTCGCATTTTAGACTCACGTACATCTTTAGTAAATATTTGTAGTCATACTACTCATTTGTGCGGGGAAGTTAATCTTGTGCAAACTGAAAAACGAAAGCAAAGTTGAGTAACCAATTGTGTTTTTCAAAACTTTGGGGTCCAATAGCCAAACCAAACGTTTAACTATAATTTGGTTATCCAATTTATAACCCAAAATAGATATATGTAAATTTGGCTGAAGCAAAAAACAATCATGAATCCTAAACCATTTCAAAGAAAAATGAAACAAATGCCAAGAGCCATAAGCCTGCAATACTACTAACCCGTGAATCCTGCAATTCTTGTCTGTTAATCTCCAAAAGCCCTAGTGCATCAAGCGACTGCAACTGCAACCACAAAAAGATTATCACAAAATTCCCATACTACCAAAGAGAATTAAAAGAAACATATTTCTAACCTAAAAATATCTAGCTCAATGTTGACTTGTTCTTAAAATTTAGATATTGATATCACCAGTTCATTAGTTTTTAGGACAAGGCAAGAAATTAAAATCAACTTTGTTAATTGGTTGCCCATAACAAAAATATGAATGCAATGGTCAATAAAACATTCCTTCTTTTGTCTGGTAGTAATTGGTAATGAAAGAGAAATAAATATAAGTGCAGAAGAATAAACAAAAGACAATGGTTGGGAAAGATAATCGTGTTATTACCACCTCATTCTGGCAATTATCAATCTAAGGATCCAAGCTCATGAAACAATATCATTTTACTATCATACTCCCTTCATCCTCATTTTTCAAGTAGAATCTTAGAACATTTATATAAAAGATGACACATAATCTAGTATTCACAAGGAACTAACCAGTATGATCAATGCTACATGGCCATCACGCCCAGTTTCTCCAGAAACTCCATAACCTTGCTTCTTGCTTTGTGTTTTCAATTTATCAATAACTTGCCATGCTATCCTATGACGTAAAGAGAAATGACTAAGACATATTTGTACAGATCTATGATAATTAGCATATTAACATATGTCCATCATCATCAACTAAATTGAAGGGTGAAAAGTAACAAATGATAGGTTGTAGGCCCCCCTTTTTCTTTTTCTGGTAATTAACATGAGGACAAAATGAAGGCCTAATTGACTGAAATTCAATTTTACTTTGGTGAATGATTGGTCCATGCTGTTCGAAGTGTTACCATACCAAGTTGTCAATTACTAAAATCATTCTGTGCTTAAATTTGTCAAGTGGTTTTCTCACAGATGAGTCAAGCTTCGAGATTTTCAATGGTCTTATTCGCAAACCGGGTGCCTCTACCTATAAGAAAGAATATCTTTAAAGAAACAAGTAGTGGTAGGAAAGGACATGTATCCCTTGGAGTCGGCACATTAAAAGGCCATGTGTTTTACCACTACACTGGTCAGCAACAGGGCTTATACAGCGTTTAAGAATAAATACTTTGTAAAGTGAGGACTGTAGTTTATCGCTAGACAATGCATACAAGTGTTCAATAAAGATTATTAGATGCAATGAAACAGCACCGACCTTATTGCATTGTTTAAAAGACCTTTTGCCTTGTCAAGCTCAGCAATTGCATCAGAAATATTTGTATTCCTATGTTGATCGGAATTAAGCATTGCAACCCTAGCAATGTGAAGCATATTGGCTCCAATCTGTCCATAGAGAAAAGAAAAGTGATCCTTTAAAGTTACCCTATTGCTTATTTTATAGAAAAGTTCAAGTCAAATCGGAAAATGGCATAAAAATAGCAAAGAAATCAAATATTTTAGACTTGTTTTTGCCAATGTTTGTACTCATTCAACATACAAATTCAAAAGAGAAATCAAATATTTAAATTTTTTTATAGAAGTTGGGATATATTGAGTAGAATAAAGTTAGTGAATATATGAAACATTGAAACTTCTTTCATAAACATCAAAACAACAAACCTGGACGTGATCTTCAGGAAGTAATGTTCTCCGAGCATCAAGACACCTAAGAAGAAAATTGCAAGGAAATATAATGTCCTGAACCATAGACCATCACAATGTTGAAGAAAAACTAAGCCTACCGACCTTTCAAGAAGTTCTTGTGCTTCTTTTAAGTTCCTGGATGATTGTAATGTGAGACCCAACCCTTCTGCAGCAACTACAGTGTCCAATGAATTCCATCCCTGCAAGAAAAAGAAGCTAAAGACTAAAGCAAGTAATAATATCAGAAACATCTGAGCCAAGGATAATTCAAGATAGCAATTGTTTAATGACAATGTCACCTAAATTTATTTATGAGAGAAATTTGAAAGCACTTCAGTTCTTGTGACAGATTGTCAGGACTAAAAACCTTATGAAACATATTTTACGAGAACTTGATAGAAACTTAAGCATATAATATGCGCTTCATCTTGCAACTGGGATTTAAATAATGTCATGCGTAAGATGTTTGTAAGATAGCTCACGATCAATTTGTTCATATGGCAAAAAAGAGTGCTTTTATAGATTTACATATTGGTGAAGTACCATGTTGGAACAGGTTCATAAACATGTTAGTAGGGAAAACAGAAAAATAAGTGCTAGAGGGAAACTGTTGTTAGAGACCATCAACTCTTGAGTGAGAAAGAGAAGAAATATGTGACCAGATTAAAAGCACCAAAATGGGCAAACAAGGGCACAAAGCCTGGGTGCAAGTCTTGACAACACTAAATCTCCTGTAGAAAATGGCTCGGTAGTTTCAGCAGATAATTCAGTAATTCACCAATCAGAAGAACGTCAAATGAAGGTGGATCGTGATTCGTGTACGGAAGCTAATTTCAAAATCTTCCTTGCAAAAATAAGATATTATTTTCCCTATAAAAAAGACAATTGTGTAGAAGCTAATAAATGAGCCATGAGAATGTGATTTTCTTCTAAAATAAAACAAATACGATAATAGAAGTTTCTTGAAAAAATACAAAAAAGTGATTTTTTTCACTTCAAACAATTTGCCAGAGGGTAGTTTCACACAGAAATTCAGTAACACCCACACACCCACAAACCAAAGTAAAAAAAAACATAATCAATTTAAGCAATATATACAATAAAAAACATACATGAGAAAAAGATAAAATTCAAACCTTAGATAATTCCATAATATGAAGGACCTTTCTCTGTATATTCTCAGCTTCTGAAATACGATTGGATTTTGTATAATCTAGAAAACAGCAACGTAAGTGGGTATGATGCAGTACAAGAGTATAAATAGTAGAAGAAAATCAAGACAGTAAAGAAACCAGAATTAATGCTACAAAAAAAATTGAAATTCGAAGAAGAAAAATTATAGTTGTTTGTAGAACCATTAATGATAACTCTTAAGTGTAATAAACTGACTATGCCTAACAGATGTTATCCTAGGGTCAAGGCAATTCTGGATACTAGCTCTTGGATACATATAAACCCCATGTAAACCAATTTAGATTTCTGACGACAGCATCAGGTCATAGAGAAAATAAGCACCATAACGTGATACCTTCGAATGAGCAATTAGGTACAGTCAGGGACGGACGCAGGATTTTGTTGGGGGCGAACTTTTAAAATTTAAGAGGGGAAAAACTTATAAAATTCTAGGGAAAACAGATTATCAATAGAAAATACAAAGAAAATATTTAAAATATGATAATTTAAATTTTCAGGAGAGGTGACTGCCTCCCACTCGGTCCATCCCTGGTACAGTGCCACAAGCATGAAAATATTAGATGAGTTTAAAAGGTGCACAAAGAATATGCAACAAAAATTATCACCAATAGGAAATTACATGTTCAATCCTGTGCACCATTTTCATGAACATTTATCCTGCAGTTTCAGCACTGTAAATTAAGACGCCTCCCTTGAGTTAAAATTTCCATGTAAGGGAAACAACTGTTGAGTTCAGCAAAAGTATAAGCTGAACTTAAAATTACTATATTTTCTTGAGCAGTAAAATCCTTTCTTAATATTTTCCATAAAATCCTTTCCTAATATTTTCCATCTATGCCAACTTGAGTGGGACAGGGGTACTATAATTTCCATCCTCAACAAATCAATCCATTAATAGTCAGTTGCAGACTAGAAGTGGTGTTTTCTCCAGATAAATAGACAGCACGCTCACAACTTAACAGAAAGGGAAAAAGAAAGGAAAAAAATGAGCACTAAAACCACATACAGATGGACATGGATCTAACATAATGTTTTTTCAATTAAACTATAATTTAATGGTTGCCTAGATTTTGTAACTAGCATGATAAGCATATGAATTTCTTTCTCCAAATGATTACATGTAGTCAAAACCTGAAAAATAAAGTCAACTTCCATCACGATTGTCTAATAAGGGCCTCCCTTTAATGACCAATGCCAATAGAAAACTACAGAGCGATATTTTGCCTTAAGAGATCCTCCAATGAAGTATAACTGAGCTTTTTTATTATTCTACCAGGTAAGCCTCCTATCAGTCTCAGGCTATTCAAGTCATCCAATAAATAATAAATAAATAAAAGGACAAAAGATTTACTACCTGTGCCAGATACCGTAATCTCCTGATGCATCCCACGATTCCCCTTGTCCCTTTCCTATATGGTTGAACACATTAATAACATTGGAAAACACCAAACCCATTACCATAGAACATCATGATTAATGCTAGCTTTGACTAAATAGACATGTACCTCTAGTATTCTCAGAATCCTGAATAAGGACCTCAGAATCGTTTAGTCTACCTTGGATAATAATACCTACAGTACAACAAGTCAATCTAATATGAAAACACATCAATGAAAATACAGTAGAAGACAAAGATTAGAACAATGAAGCAAAAGTAGGATGTACAATAAATTTACAGGTACAAAGAGTTCATTACTACAATATTTCCGTAATAATTAGCACGAATCTCAGCATCCATTACTACACAGAAGACTTTGAAGGACATAAATCAAAGAGTGTATATAGATAAGGAATTTGAAAATTTCAAGCATTTAGAAAAGCACAATTGGTATCAGCATTTGTTATTGCATTGTTTGGATAAGTATTTCTTAGAGTAAATTCATTAACACGAAACTCTCAGTTTGTCCCTAATTACACCCAAGTCCGACAGTTTAGGAAACCCACACTCCACACCAAAATACGCTTCTTGCATTGCTAAAAACTTCAAACTTTATTGCACTGTCATCAAATCTGTTAAAAATTGCATAGCTGAGACTCAAGAGATGACTACATGAACTGCTTAAATTAAAATTACTCTCAAAATTATTTTTTAAAGAAGTAAAAGCTAAAGAATCGTAAATTTAAGGTTCAAAATCCCAAATTCACGAATATTAGGGTTTTGCTCACTAGTCAAGGTGAAATTGATAAATTTTTAAGAAACAAAAAATCCTGCTCACAAGTGCTCTTTTTCACTTCACAGTGCAGCCAGGGTTAGTGGAACCTTCCTTGAGCAAACAAAAATCATTTCAGTTTTTTTTCTTCAGTACTCATTTAATCGACCAAAGAAATCTAAGAATCCAAATAACTGTTTTTGCAGTTCATGATAAAGAGTGAGAGGTGGCAGATTGAATTACCAAGAGGCAGATTAATGCCTATGTTTTGCAAATAAAACAAACTGTACCATATTGGCTCTATGATAAATGCTCTTATTCCTTTATTGGGGCATATGTAGAATCTCTAAACTATTGAACTAGAGAGTAGTTAGGGGTAAATCTTAAGAAATTTGGTGTTTTATTCTTTTCTTAGAGTGAAATTGTAAGTACCGGAAATTGATGGGGAAGGAAAAAGGGAGAGAGAGAAATATACAATATGGAAAATGAAATTGTTTGGCAACTTTTAATTTGCCAAGATTTAGATTTTGATATATTTCTACTAAAGGAATTTCTCATCCAAATAAAACTTTAAATATTAAAATTCTAAATTCTAATCATTCGTGAAGTGGATTGATGAACAAACCGTAAATCCCCTCCAACCAAACCATAGAATCACATTATAAAGAAAAATGCTGAAAACAAGAATGAGAAATGCTTAATAATCCGAAAAGAGGCTGTATAAAAAAGAAATAACAAAAAGACGACAAGATGATATTTATATTTGAAACATTACCATTCCAAGGTGAAACATTGTATCTGCATAATCTATGTTGCCACGTCCCAGAACACGTCCCTTTATCTAAACCATTATGCAGCATAAATCCTATCATTTTAATGAAAGTATAACAGAGAAAAGAAAACTAATCCCAACTTCAGTCACAAACTGCATTTAAGGTTAAAATCAGTAAAAGAATCTATAAGCACGGTATGTGTCTCTGTGTAATGCATATAGATATAGATATAGATATACATGCATTGCATTTTATCTTTATTTTTAATTTTTCTGACTGCCGGAGGTCTTCCAAGGAAGCTGCTCTCAACCTGGCGTTGGGGGCAGCCTACTACCCTACCTCCCCTTACCCCATTGCATATGAGAATAGAGTTTTGTTGTTGTTGTATATACCTATGTGAATATCAGATTCATACCTTTAAAGCACGCTGTCCAAAGAATTACCCCCCACACCACACCACACACAAAGAAACAAAAAGATATATTAGATCAAGTTGCCATGAACTATAAGTATCAGTAGGTAGACAAACTCACAAACATCAACATAGGGACATAGAAGACAAATGAATGCTATCGAGATCAATTAAAAATATATCATTGTACACCTTAGAATTTATTGCAGAATATATACAAGTTATTAATATTACTAAAATATGATAGGCTTGAAAGAACTAGCTGTTGTACATGTTTATGTAAGTTGAAATGGTGAAGCATGAAGAAATTTAGTCTATCAAGTTGTAGTTGAGACATTTAGAATTAAGTAATTCATGATTAAATATGAGTATAAAAATAAAATTATTTTAAAATTTTGGTCTAATTATTAAAAAGTAATTATAAAAAAAACTAGGATGAAGCAGATGCTTCAACATGTTCTTTAGAATTTATGAGTTACAAGTGAAAATATGATGAGATTCTCAACTACACCTTCCCATCCCCAACCAACGGAGTATACATAATTTCTTATTTGCCTATAGAATGAAGCGACACTAGATGGGACAAGTTATTTTCTTTTAACTAACAGTCAACTATCTATTTAAAATGCATAATACTGCAACTACTAGCCAAAAGCAAACTAGACCAAACTAGCAACAGTTGAACTGAACAAAAATGATATCATAAATTTCACCTATAGCCATTGTGATATCAAATTTTCTCAGAAACACTATATTTCCTAACACCTTGAATTAGCTATTGTCAACAAGGGGGATCACAGTGTTAATAAAATAAATGGTGTGATTTTGGTCAATGCTCCATAAGAAACCTACAATACTGATTATATCCTTATCATCTCAATTCATTTTTTTTATTTGCAAAGAAATTGACCACCACCCAAGCTAACCCACCAATTTTTTGTCAGTTCTCATGCGTGACACAATCCACCATCTAAAATCTATGATCAAAAACTACTTACAAAAAACCACCAGATCCAAATTGCTACAGACAAAAATATCAATCATCAAAAGTGTCTCCAAGTAAATGAACCATATTCTATTACCTCATAGCACATCCGAGCCTCCTCCAACTTTCTCTGGACAAGATAGAACTTCCCGAGATTGTGCAGGGCAACTCCAACACTGTATTAAGATGGATGAAAGAATTCAATGAGCAATAATAAATAAAAATAATAAGGCAGTGGCTTGTACCCATTTACAAGTTACAACTACTTTGGTAAGATGGAAGAAACAACTGTATTAACAACAGAAATGAAGTCTGCTCATACAGAATCTGTGTTCGGATACATCTACCTCCTCGAACAATAAAACTAGAAAACGTAGTATGTCAGAGAAACAGCAATAATTTTCTTGAGGGGATTGATTCCGAATAAATTTCATCTCTGTTGAACACCTTCAACAGTTTAAAGATTTTGGATAATATAGGAGCATTAGGTTATCTTTTTAGTTTGATGTTACTAAACTATCACATTTTTCTTAATGATTGGAAAATTAGGCTACATGTGGTGCTAAGCAATACTGTTAGAAACATTCACTAAAGAATGTGGGGGTAACAGGTTTTTCTATCTTATACTGGTGAATTGGTTTCATCAGGTTTCAAATTAAAGGCTCATATTTAATAGTTTACAAGATTTGTAGACATAAAGACTTCAATTATCTCTTTTCCTCCTTCCGCTGATTAAGGCTTAATCTAAAGCTCCATTAATCAAGAAGGGGTTTTTTAATGAGGCCTTCCATTCTTATCAAAATTATCTCTCACATGTACAATTTCAAAAAAAAATTAATACTGAAAACAGTAATAACTCTCTTCTATTAAAAGAAGAAAAATACTTGGTCAAGTTTTTCTCACATATGTAAAATTTCAAAAAAAAATACTGAAAACAGTAGTAACCCCCTTCTATTACAAGAAGAAAAATACTTGGTGCCAAGGAGGATTTTACAGATCTAAATATAGAAAGAAAGTGGCACAGGATTCTTAATCTCTCATCTAGACTTTTATGCTTTCCTCTTCTCCAATTAATTCCCTTTTCCCTCAATAATTCTTCAATATAAATTAACTTCTTACTAAATCAGATCTGAACCCAAGCAAGAAGGTCATCTCCTTGAAATCTACTTTGAAATAGCCTAAGCTTCTTCTACATCAAATCTTAACCTGAACTGAGAAATATAACACTAAAAAAAGCAGATTCTGTATGGAGTATGGTGCATAATGTTTGGCATCTGAAACACGAATAATTAGAAAGTTACTTAACAAATACAAGTGCATCTAACATGCCATTTTCATGAAATATAAAATATTGTATGGAAGAAAATATGCAAAACGAAAATACTTGAGATCTTATCCCTGTGACATAATCCTTATGTAAGTTTAATAAGTAACACTAGTTACCGTATATCTTCAGCCAAATGCCTCCTCTAATATGCTGATGGCCTCTAAATACAGAGGTTCTGCCTTGCCAAATGCCTTTTTAATTCTGTAAAGCTCTGCCTAAAAAGGAAATGGGAAAATGTACAGGGAACAAAGCAATGAAATTCTTAAACATAAGCAGCTACATTGAACTGTAAATAAATAGATTCAGAGAAGAATAAATGGGAAAATTAAAGCTTTTTATCCCAACTTCATTAGCAGAAAGAATTGTCAGCACTACTTTCACTTGGACAATGTGGATACCTAGGATAAATATAAGATAACGAACTGTCCGTTATGCTAATTAGAGATAATTCAAATCCTTTATCACGTAGAAGCAACTTTTAAAATCACTCAAAGTATCAAACAATAGAAATAACACCAAAACCTCAATATCAAATTATACAAAAAAGAGATATCTTTTGCGTATCGTAAATTATACCTCAATTATTCATAAGTATAGTTCAAGTCTTAAAGAGGAATTTTTTCCCCTTTATTCGTGCATTACATACGTATTCGAAAGTACAGATAGCATCAGGGTACTGCATATGATATAAAATAAATGGTGTCGTATGCTTCATCTACCATGATAATAAGTAGACTCACCAAATTGTTGCATGCAGATGCAACATGGGCATCCCTCTCCCCAAATCCTTCTTTAGCTTCCTGGATTGCAGAAAGGAAGGACTTTTCTGCTTCCTCTAGTTTTCCCTATTATTTATAGAAGGAAGGAGAGAAAGCAAGCCAGAAACTACAACAGAGAGAATAAAGGTAGATCGAATAAATGCTTACCTGCAAAAAATAATCCCTCCCATTCTGTAAAAATTCTCCACTTAGAAGTGTGTACATTAGATATCAAAGAGCCATCCTCAATTTTACGTAATCCAACCATGTTAGCATCTTGGACATCGCTTTCTGTATTTGTTTGAATTGAGTCATCATCAGCAAAAACAGGGTGGGCATTTATCCCCAATAGCATAGCTGCAAAGAAACCAGAGCCATCAACAAAGAATTGTTTAAGCAGTAATCATTCGAAAGACACTAACCAAACAAAGAAATTATTTAAGATAGGTTTAAAAATATTAGAAAAGCTAAAGCATTTTGTTTGGATGCTTAGCTGCACCTTAAAGGATTCGATGTTAAGAGTTTTTTTTCTTGTTTTAGTTCAACTCAAAGGATATTTTAAAAAATAGTAGAAATTGGGGGGATGAGACAGAATCATGAAATAATTTTAACGTTCAATATTGAAGCTAAAGATTGACAATAAACGCGATTAAATCGTTTGAGACAAAAGTAATTTCTGTAAATTTGAGCAATGTTTCTTTCTAACATTAATTGCTTTGATTTGCACAGTTTAAGCATCTATGTGTACATCTGCATGGTTGGCTTAAAGTTCTAAAAGTTTACTTTATGTTTTTTCTTTCTTTGCTATTGCTCTCTTTCTCCCCAAGCACCAGCAGTCGCAGCAAACCATTGACATCTATTCACTGACATTCCTCCTCTCTATTCCTCTCACTCCCATTGCTTATATACCCTCTTTCCCCTTTCTAAATGATGAGAGAGAGAGAGACTGAAAACATACCAGCTTGTATAGTTAGAATAATCCATGTAGGAGGATCAGCAGGATTCGTACTCCATGCACTCACATAACCTATTTGATAAGGGAATTTGATTTTGCCTGGAATAATATTATCGAAACAATTATACCTGGAATAATGGTAATTGGTACCTACTAACAAAATAGATGAAAGGTTTGGGGGAAAACCAAATTTGGTCTTATAATCTAAGAATTGAACTCTTTCAATTTAAATGGACAATAAGGCCTTGATCAGATTCAATATAGCATCATTAAATTGAACCGACTTCAAAAACAACAAAAAAAAATTAACAGAAATAAAGATCACAAATATTGAAAATTTGAGAAACATACTGGAAAGAGAGAAGGGCAACGGAGTGGCTGTAGCCATTGCAGTAGACGGACGAGAAGCAGAGGTGGAGATGGGCTGAGAATGGAGACGAACTCTCCTTAGCAAACTAACGGCAGCTTTGCGTAGAAACATCTTCTCCTTTTGCAGTAGGGGGTTTTCCTCTCCAAACCCTTTGGATAACTAATAATAAAGGAGAAACGAAGATGCCGAAAATTTTCAACACGTTTAAAATAATTTTCAATAATTTACTTTTGCTTAATTCATAATTTGCCTCCTAAAGGATATCTAATTTTCCAATTTAGCACCTAACAGTGGCGGAGCCATATGTTGTAATTTGAAATTTCTTCCGTTAGTTATTAATTTTATTGATAGTGTTAACCTCAAAAAAAAATTGTCTCCCATTCAAAAATTTTGTATTGTTAATATATGTGTATTATCCTCAAAAATATTTTTTGATCTGACACCAACACCTAAAGATTTTTTTATCAATAGTGGTTGCTCTAAGTTTAGACACTATTACATGCTGAGATGGATCGAAATATTGAGTTACTAGTTCATGTTGAGATAAAAATAAGGGTTGAGATATGAATACATACTGAGATAAAAATGGAAATTGAAACATTGATACAATTTGAGACTTGATGTCGGGCCTCTTTGATCATCATATAACCTAACATATCATATTACAAAATGAAAAAACAAAACATATTAGAGAAAGAAAGAAAAAATTGAAAATGTTGGGAAGGTAACCAATGTTAGATTTTATCTATATTTAGGATATGCATTCATGTTTTTTTTTTCATTTGTGAATAGTCCTAAAACTTCTTGGTCCAAATGCCCTTTTTTTTTTGGTTGGTCACTGAATTAGGTTGTGAATGAGCGATGCCCTAGGTTGGTTGCCCTTGATGAGGTAGTCTTAGATGAACTATCTATTGTTGAAGCTGGTTTGTTTGGTGTTATTAGTGTTGAATGTTGTGAGAGTATCCATTTAGATTAAGGGTTGTCTTGCTTGAGGCTCTTTTAGATTCTATTTTGAATTCATAGTCAATAAAAAAAGGAAAAAAAACTAAAATACTGAGTCCAAATATATAATATAGTTAATTTAACTCACATCTTATGTGTTTCAAAAGATATGTTATAGTGTTGTTTCTAATATTTCCACAAAATTTACAACTCGTCTTGCTTCCTATTTTTAATGTTTTTCAAAAACCAGGCCTAAGATTTGGTTCTCCACCTCTATGTGCTACATGAATTCCGATTATTCTCATCTCTAGCTATAACAGATAATGTTTCACTTTTAGATGTCCTTTTCAAATAACAGTTAATAAGTGAAAAGACATGTCTATAGTAGCTCTTGAACCCTTCCTTTAAAGCATATAACCTTACGAATATAAGTTTCATTTAAGCGAGTGTATTTCTTAACTAGAAGCTGAAATGTAAGGACGGACGTTAAATTTTATATTTTGAGATGAAAATATTATTAATAAAAATAAAAAACAAAAAAAATTAAAGGATGATTGCTCAACCCTTCTCGATCCTTCCTGCTGAAATGTACCATTGGGATTTTCTTATGAATATAAACTTTGGGCGCATTATGGTTGACGCGAGATGAGATAAAGCAGCCGAATGATGTTCGGAGAGCTGCTTGGAAATTTCTAGTTCCTCATAGAATTCTTCATTTCCTTTGGTTGGCTTTGACGGGTCGGTTGCTAACAAATCAGGAAAGATGCCGGAGGGGGTATTAGTATTACTAATATGGCTGATTCAATTGGAATCGAATAATGTGGCTGCGATTGATCTTGTCTGTGCGAGGTTTGCTGTGAGGAGTCCTCTGGCTCTTATCAAGTCCATAGCTTTGCTGTCTAGGAGGGATTAGAGTGATGAAATTGTAAATGAATTTAATTTGATGACCAACATAAAAAACATACTAATAATTAGATTACTACCAGTCTCGTTTAGCTTTAAATGTAAGATGAAAAATATATAATATATAATATATAAAACTAAATAAATCACCTAATGATTCCAGCTTGGCATATCATGGAGCAGATTGTATGTTGGTTACACCGTTCAACATAATGATTCCACTCCTCAAGGGATGCTGCAAATTCAATGCCTTAAGTGGGATGGCATAGAGATATTTATAATTCCTTTATCATCATGTAAGGTCTTATTGAAATGAATTCAGCCCCTCTTAATAAAAAATAAATCACTTATTAAAGTACATAGTCTACTGATGTTAAGTTTTTCAATTATTAAAAGTTAAAATTAGTGATTTGATTATAAGATATTATTTTATTAAGTTTTCAATTATTAAAAATTACAAAATGATCACCCGATTATTTATATATTATAAACTCTTCATTTTTCGTTTAAAAATTAATGACCTTTTGAGTTGGACGTTAACTTGTTCATTGAGATATAATAAAATAATATTTTAATAATATATAGTGGTATCATCGTTACTTTTAAAAACTGACTCTACAACGTAATGTTTTCAGCATCGTTTAGATAACATAATGTAAATAGAGAGTCGATTCATAAAATACATCTCAAACGGTAGTGAGATCATATTTTATCATATCCCGATCAATATACAAACATCTGTCTTAGACGACCGTAAATTTTTAACGAAAAAGGAAAGAATTTAAAACATATAAATAATCGATTAATCATTTTATAATTTTTAATAGTTACATAACTCAATAAAATAACGATATATAATCAAATTTCTATTTTGTTATTTTATAATTTTTAATAGTAGAAGAAATATCTATAATTGAACCATTTGCATCATGACACGTGATAAATTTTAATGCAACCATTATAACAAATTAAATTATGAAAGAAAAAATCTCAACAAACAAACCAGAAAATATTATTTTTATTATTCTACGTGTCGTTGATGTTCTCAACTTCGATCTTCCATTTCTTTGATCTTCATCATTCTTCAACTTACAGCCAGAAATTGCACATCTACTATGGCGGAGCAAACGAAAGGTGCGACCGTAGGCGAAAATAACTGCACCCGCGGAGAGGAAACGCTACACGAAGCCCTCCACCGTTTGGTTTCGTCGATCATCTACCCCGAAGCATCGGCATCGGAACCGCTGCTGCAGCGGATCAAGATATCTGTTTCGGAGAACGTGCCTCGCCTTGGCGAAGCCTCCAGAAACACTAGCCGTTCTGTTCTGCAGTGGACCCGTCGTGGCAGCCCCCTTCGTGCTCTTCTCGTCATTTCTGTGAGGGGTTTTCTTTTTCTCTTTCAAATTGCTTTGTTAAACAATTTCTTGATGCCCTTCTTATGCCTCAGAATTGCTATTTTTTTTAAACAATGCATTCTTGATCATCACTCTTTCATTTCTCATTTTATTATTTTTATCTGTTATATTAGATTCTATAACAAAAGTAAAGGGAGAACAAATATTGCTGAAACCCGTCTAAGCAGCTTTTAACTTTTTGATGGTCTTAGAGATGCGTCACATTTTTTATTTTTTTGTTCCTTTTTTATTAGCGTGATTTTGTTTTAGAGCAACTTTTAACTAAGCAAGAACAGCCCAATTAAGCTCTAATGATTACGATTTTTCAGGGTTCTGGATGATTTTAATATTTGGGGGGAGAAATAGATAGTTTAATTGACATATTTGTAACACAAGGGACCACTTTGGATTTTTGTGAAAAACATTTTTCAGTGCTAGACACTGATTTCTTTGTGTGCGTCGTCAGTTCTTATGCATGAGGCTTGAAGAGATAAAGCTATATTGTTTCTAACGATTGACACACACATATATTCATATTTCTCTTCAATAAGCAAAATCAAGTTATATAATAAAAAAATCTAAAATGAATAGCACAAGTGTCAGAGTAGTTCTGGAATCGCATAGTTAAAATAGAAGATCCTATAAATCAGTGCTTATTTGTTTTGTCATTGCTTTTGAGTAAACGTGTTCTGGAGATGTTATCCACTAAGGACTAAGGGTTACAGTTGCAAAGGCCAGTCCACTGAACTGTTTAATGTGGGATAATGGTTAAAACAGAATGGCAAAATGGACCTTGGCTCTTAAAATCGATGATGTATAAAGCATTGGTATGTCAAATCTCTGTTAGTGCTTGAAAATTCATGGGATGAAATTTTGTTACTGGTTCTTCCTTTTTACATCAAACTTATGGATGCTTACACTAAAACTTAATGCTCCTTAAATGCAAATTTTTTTCTTAATGAATTGGATAAAGTAACACATACTTCCATGCCAAGTATCTTGCCCTAATAAGCCTTTCCTTTGGTTGGGTTTTACTAATTGACTTGGAAAGCTTAAAATCATTATGTTTTTGCATCATTTTTTATAGCAGGGCTACATTACATATTGAGATGAGTTTCAAATTGCTTTTGTGTCTTCTGGACTTCATAAATTTTCTATGTATGCCCTTCTAACTTCTTTGTGCGTCTCTTCTACACTAAGCTGCTCTGCTTTCTTGTAGCTTAAATTGATATCTAGTTATGATAAATAAGTGACATTTACTTTGATTGCATATCCTGGATCGCTTCTCTTGCCTCTTGTCTGATAGTGTCCTTAATTTACATTCGTTGGAATCCTCTAACTGTTCTTTTACCAATACTTTTGCAGGTTGGGACCATTTCATTTCTTACCTTGACAGGGTTGCTTGTTTTTATGCTTTTCTTTCTAGCTGCGACTGTCAATGCTATCATCATCTCTTTCCTCATCGCTCTGGCTGCTGCAGGAGGCTTCTTGGCTATTTTCTTTGCCTGTGTAACAGTTATTTACATTGGGGCCTTGTCAGTTGCTGCTTTTGTTATTTCTACTGCAACAATTTCAACAATTATAGCTGCTCTTGTAGCTACAGGTATATCTTTCTCAGCATCTATTTTTTAGTTTTTACTTTGTTTCATTCTTATAATGTTAAGATATACTGCTTGGCTTACGAACTACAAGATGGAGTCTTTTCGTTTATATCTTTTTATAGGGTCGTAGAACCCCTTTATCTTTATACATTTTTGCCAGAACCTATGTCCCTAAATGAATTTCAGTCCTATGTAGTTGCCGTGGCTTATTTTAGATGATAACCGAAATGAAGTTTCAACAAGTATGCATACAATATGTTGGGGTAAATCATTGCCATTATTCTCCTTGAAGTGTATGTGTGGGGTGTCCTTCAGTGTCGCAGAGGCAAAAAATTAGTAGAAAAAAAATTATGATGGGAAACTAGTATGTGCAAAATTGGAAAACAAAATTTACCACAGCCTATAAATGGGGATTTGAATTAGATTTTTTACTCTGCACCTTCCATCATCACAAGTATGTTCATTAGTTGGTCTCTCTCTCTCTCTCTCTCTCTCTCTCATGCTGTGACCAATATTCATTTTACTGGCCAAGTTCGCTAAGCAGTGCGAGTGATCAAGTTTTTGTGTGCTAGTTTGGATGCCCTGATACACATTTGTTGCTGTATTTTTCTTCTTCTGGCATTTCGATTTCATGCTACTCTGGTGTTTTGTGCCCTCAAAATTGGAATGAATGGGATAGCATATTTCAATGCCAAAGTTGATATAGTGCACATTAAAGTAGTTTTGCCATGGAATGTACCTACAATGTTTTCTGTGGCTATTGCTTAAAGTGATGTCTTTTTTGTGGCACGGTTAACAATTTTTATACTACTTCCGTCATTACTTATAATTACGGAGTTTTGTATCCCCGTGATTGCTATCTCAAACTGTCTGGTTCTGAAATTCTTCATAACGAAAATCATGGCAGGCTTTTTATTAGACGACTTAAAGTGAATGTGCTCTACTATTGCTTTTCATTTGATGTTTCAATATGAATCAGGGTGGGTTGGATTCTTCTGGGCTCTATGGTTGGGTACTAAGAAAAGCATGGACCTGGCAAAGCTCTCGTTCACCATGACTGGCTCTGCTCTTTCATCTTATTCTTCTCCCCATGTTCATCGCTACCAGGAGCTGAACAAAGATTCAGACTGAAACACTTTGGTGAACGTAAGACCCACTCCACACTCATTCAGCATGGACATGTTGATTAATCATAGATGAGAAGCATGTTATATAGTCGGTGTTCGGAGCTCATTCCTTTTACGGGTGAATAGTGTGTATTTCTCATCCTCTAGAATTAAATGGATGGATGGTTAGCTTTTAGCCAGGAACTAGATAGAGTTTCACGTGATCAGTGCTTTATTATATTAGATTTTATAAAGGATTAAAAAAATATGTTATGTAAAACATATTTATAAAATCGTTAATAATTATCGATGGAGTGGTAATAAATTTTTATGTGACTTATCGATCCTGATTCTCAAATAGTGGCTTTAGTTATTTCATTTAAATCTTATAAAAATGAAAATTGAATTGATTCATGATACTAATTCAATCGGTTATTTCATTTTATGTTCTACGAAATTGAAAATATCAACAAATTCAAAAAGTTATGTTACGGAGCTTACAATGGAAAATTATCAGTCGAATCTGAGTACATCAAACGTGGTTAAATTATGATTCTTAAACAATTTAGTACATCCTTGAAATCATAATTTATTTATTTTTCTAATTACTATAAACACCTATATAAAAATATATTTTGTAAAAATATTTAGCAATAAAGGGTTTGTATTATAAATATATGTCTTCTTATTCAATCATTGAATAGTATTTAATTATTTTATTTAATTAATTCCCAGGAGGTAGAAGAAATGTGTCTAAATTCCGAACAACTACCGGTTGGGAGGTCAGTTTCGTTGGTTCGGTTAGTCTCGGAAGGTGCCGATTTGTGGAGTGCTTCTCACTCTTTACACTTCTACCTTTACCATAGACACTAGCTAGCAGCTACTGAATAAACCTTCCTTTTCTTTCTCTCTATATATTTTCGTTTCCCTCTTACTCCTTTTTCCACTGGTGAGGAAAATGGAGAGAAAACGGCCTGTTTGGTAGCCATGGCTGTCGCCACCCTTTGCGGCGTACCGCAGGTCAGATCCAGTTCTTCCGATCATCGTTATAAAGCTGGAGATGATGTTCCTCTCTATGCTAATAAAGTAGGCCCATACCACAATCCCAGGTATTCCCCTGTTGCTTTTCTATCTCAACTCAACTCTCTATTTTTACCTTTCAATCTGACTTTTCTTTGTTTTTGCTTTGATTCACAGTGAGACCTACCGTTACTTCGATTTCCCGTTCTGTTCCTCAGGTCTGATCTCATTTCGCGTCTATTTCTATTTTTCAGTTTTAAATCTGTTTTTTTTTAGTTCTAAATTGAGTAATTTAAGGATTTGTTCTGCACTTTCAGCACCCGTGAAGGAGAAGAAGGAAGCTTTGGGTGAAGTCTTGAATGGCGATCGCCTAGTGAGTGCCCCTTACAAACTCGAGTTTTTGACCGAGAAAGTGACTGAGATTGCCTGCAAAAGGAAGCTTACTAAGAAAGAAGTCGCCAAGTTCCGAGCCGCCGTCTTAAAAGACTATTACTTCCAAATGTACTACGACGACCTTCCCATTTGGGTTTCTTAGGGAAAGTTGATAAGGAAGGCAAGACCGATCCATCCGAGTATAGATATCATCTCTTTAAACATCTGTTTTTCGAGATCCATTACAACAAGGATCGCGTCATTGAGGTTACCGTTCGATCTGATCCCAACGCCCTTGTGGACCTAACGGAAGATGAACCGATTGATGTAGATTTCATGTACACCGTTAAGTGGAAGGAACCGACACTCCTTTCGAGAAGAGAATGGACAAGTACTCACTGTCTTCTTCCTTGCCACACCATCTGGAAATCCACTGGTTCTCCATCATCAATTCATGTGTCACCGTTTTGTTATTGACTGGTTTCCTGGCCACCATTCTTATGCGAGTCCTTAAGAACGATTTCGTCAAGTACTATTTCCCATCTGTATTTGATGCATGATAATCCATATCTAATTCTTAAGTATACTTGATTTTGTTTTTAAATTCATGTATTCCTTAATAGGTATGCACATGACGACGAATCTGCGGATGACCAGGAGGAGTCTGGGTGGAAGTATATTCATGGTGATGTGTTCAGGTTCCCCAAGCACAAGTCTTTGTTTGCGGCTGCTCTTGGTTGCGGCACCCAGCTCTTTACTCTGTGAGTATCATCCATCGAAGCTAATTGTCTTTTTGTTTCCGAGCAATCTGTTGACTGTTATTCATTTGCTTCCTTTTCCAGTACAATTTTTATTTTTATCCTTGCTCTAGTTGGGGTCTTTTATCCATATAACCGGGGAGCTCTTTTCACTGCTCTGGTAGTCATTTATGCCCTTACATCTGGATTTGCTGGCTACACTGCATCTTCTTTCTATGGTCAGCTAGAAGGAACAAATTGGGTGTGTAATACTGATCTCTCTTACTGTTTCCTCTATGTGAAATGTCTTGCAAAAATTTGAAATTCTTTTTGGTCATTTCTGATGACTGTTCGTACCCTTCTTCATGACAGGTGAGAAACTTATTACTAACTGGAAGCTTGTTTTGCGGGCCTCTTTTTGTCACATTTTGTTTTCTAAATACCGTCGCAATTGCTTATAAAGCTACAGCAGCATTGCCGTTTGGAACCATTGTGGTGATTCTTCTCATATGGGCTCTGGTCACATCACCTTTGTTAGTAATAGGAGGTATTGTTGGGAAGAATAGGAAGGAAGAGTTCCAAGCCCCTTGCCGCACAACAAAATATCCTAGAGAGATCCCACGATTACCTTGGTACCGAAGAACTCTTCCACAGATGGCAATGGCAGGGTTCTTGCCATTCAGTGCCATCTATATTGAACTTTACTACATATTTGCCAGTGTGTGGGGACATAGGATCTACACCATATACAGCATCCTGTTTATTGTCTTCATCATTCTCTTGATTGTCACTGCTTTTATCACTGTGGCTTTGACTTATTTTCAACTTGCTGCTGAAGACCATGAGTGGTGGTCGAGGTATGTTGTTTTTAGCTTTTTGATACGCATAAAGAAACACATGCATTCTTAAGTTCTCACAAAAAAACCATATCTTGACATATAGACACATTGCTGCCTGAAGAATTTTCGACATTTCTCATATTATTCTTCTGTTTTTCTGTGTCTGTGTGTTTGTTGTTGCTTGTGTGGCATGGCTATCTTTGACCTTGCATAGCTTCTTGTTATATAGATGGATTTTCGATATTATATGTTGTTATTAGTTCTTCTCTCCTCTAGAATTCTGAATCGCAGTCTCATTTTGCGTGAGAAGCCTGACCCAATTTTCTGTCCATCTTGGATCATTTGTGGAATTGTTTATGTGAGTTATTTTATGACTAACCGGCATTCAGATACCATCTCAAGTGCGTCTTGTGTCGGGTAATCAGCTTATCTTGACTGATGTTTTCTTTGGTCTATCAGATCCTTCCTTTGTGGTGGGTCTACCGGGTTGTTCATATATGCTTACTGTTTGTATTACTACATAGCACGGTCAGACATGTCAGGCTTCATGCAAACCTCATTCTTCTTTGGGTACATGGCTTGCATTTGCTATGGCTTCTTCCTGATGCTTGGAGCCATTGGCTTTCGTGCATCTCTGCTATTTGTTCGACACATCTACCGTTCTATCAGTGTGAGTAGGAAATGGGATGGTCTTCCCTCTCTTGCTTTATCGGAACCAGTTTGATAGTTAGTTTATCAAAAGATTATACAATGATTACGAAAATGCAGACCGGAAACTCATGTATGCGAGCTTTGGGGTGCTTTTGCAGCGTTGTAAATATGAATCATTATAAACCTTACTTGATGCCAACGAAAACTTGTATTTCTCGCTTCAATCATTACACCTGTCAACCATTCCCTTTTTGTTATTGGGATACACAGTTTAGGAATAACTTTTTACTACCATGCTGTCATCTTCACGATGTTAGCTCTGAAAACAATAACATATATCTACATTTTGCAGTCTTGTATTCGCGTATTGTGCTGGGAACTGATTCAGAATGAACGTCATACTGTTGCTAATTTCATATAACTACCGACTCGATTTCAAAGCTTAGAACATGCATGCAATGCATGAACTCTAATCTTATATAGGATTTGAATGATTCTTATCAAGTTTATCAAGTCTTGAATCAAAGAATAATGTTATTAAATGATAGCTTGATACTTGAGGATTAAGAAATTAGGTTTGGGATCATAAACACTTGAAGAGAATTTTAGATATTTTGGATTTTTTTTTCTTCATTCTTAAAGTATTCATCAATGGCTTCCGACACTGGAAGAAAATGAAATGAGAATTGGAATTATTTATCACCAATCGGTTTTGAAGACAAAAAGGAAGGAAGCTTTGTTTTAATGCATAATGCTTAATAAAAGAAATTTCTATTAACAATAATATTCTTCTATTATTCATAACATTAATTTCAATTTAATACACCTTTGACACATGTACTTTTATTATCATGGCGTTTTGGTCAAATTGACGTACTAATCTTTAACTTTTACTCCCTTTATAATTTGGTCCTTAAAACTTCAAAATACTACTTTCCGATTTTCAATTTAATCTCAAATCGAACTATCTTTTAATCTAATGAAATCAATCAAACCAAACACACTTTTCATCAATTTTTAAACGAATATTTTAATCCTCAAATGATTTTAATCCAATTTATGTCTTATTATTTTTAAAAAATAATTTAGAAACTATAAAAATATGTTTGAGTAATAAGAACTAAAAATTTAAGATTAGGTCTGTAATCTTATGTATATATGAAAATATATAATTATAAGATTACATCTTATATTAACCCTTACTCTTACTAAATACCTATAATGTAGGCTAAGGGGCTATTTGTTTACTTCAGAATGATTAAACGTTGAATGATTCAGATGCTCTGTATAAATTAACTCTGAATGTGACATGATGTTTGATAATGGCTCTGAATCATTCAGAATGTACTTCTGTGCTAAATCATTCAACATTGTTTTGCTGAATCAGTCAGCACTGAATCATTCAGATGTGCGAAACAAACACGCTGAATGCTGAACGGTTCAGCATTCACGCTGAATGATTCCATTAAGAGGCAAACAAACAGCCCCTAACTAAACGTCCCATATATATATATTATCCTTTGAAAACAACTTTGTTATTTAAAATCAAACGAAAACTTAGCTTTAAAGCGATAAT